TACATGGACTTGAGAATGAAGCTCCCTCGGACCCACATCACCTCTACTTAACTAATTTTTACCAACTAACAATCATAACTCATCACTACCAAACTTCTGCTCTACCAAGTAACGGCCAGTAAAAATGTTTCATCGATTGTCATCATCATTTTCTAGACTTCACAAAGAGATCTAGAAATTGTCCACGTCATCTATGTCTAAGGAGAACCTTTGGGTCTGTGGACAAGATGATAATCTTCTTGAATGTTTAGAATTCAAATAATTCTTGCCACGACATAAGAATTCAATTTTACATATTTAAAACTTGATTAGTTTTTAATTTAATATCATTTTTATGATTTTAAATTTTAAAACTCTTCTTTAGTCAATTACAATTCTCTTGGTATTTACAATCTCAATTTGTCAATTGAATTATCTATTATCATTTACATAATAATCACAAGGTGGAACCTTGTTTCTACCTAAATCATCATTCGTCATGCATTAATGTCATCACCCAAAAAAAAAATAGCAAAGTTTTAAATAAATTTTCTTTTGATCATTTAGTCAAGTAATCATAGAAAATTAAATTCTTTGAAAAAAATTTAAAATTTTATCAGATATTATCTCACATCTCTATGTTTGATCTAGAAAAATCATACTACTCTAAGGCTTTTTATCGAATTACAATTAATATATTTATTCTGATATACTTTTAAAATCTAAAAATAAGTATTTTTCTAGTTTTATAAATTTTAAATTTACCTGATTTACTATACCACAATTAAACCACATCATTGATCATCATACTAAATAGGACTAAGAAGACCTTTGTTTTATTTATGTGTGGTTAAACTCATTAATAATCATGCACATTAGTATAATGAATTATGTAGATCAAGTATATATGTCTGTCATGAAAATTACATGAAATATAATTTAAATATTTACATTTCCAATCAATTTCCTATATTCTATATAGATACCAACTAAGTACAATCTGAGTAGGAACAAACATAAACCTTACTTTTATAAGAAATAGTAATCGGCTGTGTCAACAACTATAATTTTCACAATACAAACTATCATGGAATTTATATATTTTCATGAGACATTACACCCATATAAGTATTATGCTCATGAAAGGTCTTTGGTGAATATCACTTATTAAGGGGGTCTGCAATTATAAAGATTTTCACAATATGTAGAGATACCTATTCACTCTTAATCATCTCTCTAACAATCAAGAACATGAAAACTATATGCTTAGTTTTTTTCAAGCTCCTATTATTATTGAAATACATGGCACTTACGTTATTGATCCAAAATATTTTTGATGGCTTTAACTTAGTCATATGAATGTCTCATAATATGCTATAAACCATGTAGTCTCTATGGAAAAAAATATGTGTCTATTTGACACTTAAAGTGAAATAGTTCCTCCAACCAGCAAGTAGATGTAGCATATTGTGAATCTCTTACTATCAATGCATCTAGTAAAATCAAAATAACTAAGGATCACAAACTGATTTGATTTCTTATTTATGATCATGTAGTTATTTATTTTTTATAAGTACCACATAACCCTTTTGACCACTTTTTAGTAATCCACATCTAGATTGCTTAAGTATTTACTCAATATTCTAACAATTTGCATAATCTTTAGACATTTACATTCATGAGTAGATATACAACTTCCTATGACTAATGCATAAAAAAATGCATCTCTTTAATCTAATAATTATTTTGGGGCATTGATTAAAATTATTCTTTTATCTTTTAGTCACTTGAGAGTCACATGATTTACAATCTTACATGTCAAGTATTTTAAAAAGTTTCTTGATATGACTCTTTTATGATAACCCAAAGAAATTATGAGACTGATCTCAACATATTTGTATACCTAATACAAAATAGACCACAATGATCTTTTATTTCAGAAGTCTTTGATATAAACTTCTTTATTTTAGATAATAAGTCAGTATCATTACTCACAAGTAATATGTTATCAACATAAAAAATCAAGAAAATATATTTACTCTTACTAAACTTATAATACTCATAGTTATCAACCATATTCATCTCAAAATTGAGTAAGATGATGTTTGAAGAAACTTGTTATATCATTTCAATACCGATCTAGGTATATATATATCTAATATAGAAGAGACTTTACCAAGATCTTGTATTTCAAAAGTCTTTGATAGAAACTTCATGGTGTCACATAATAAATATATATATAATTACTAACAATAAATATGACATTGACATATAAAATCAGGAAAATATATGGACGCCTACTAAACATATAATATACATAGTTATCAACCATAATCATCTGAAAATTTAGTAATATGATGCTTTAATGAGACTTGTTATCTCATAGAAAAAAAGCCTTATTGAGTCCTTAGATGATTTTTTTAATTTACACAAGTTTCTTAGAGTCTCCTAATAAAACTTTTCTAATTGCAACATATAAATTATTTCATCAATGGCATCATTGAGAACGCAGTTTTCATATTCATCTAATGTAACTCAAGATCAGTTTTAGTACCTACCTGCTTAGGCTAGTCCAAGTCGTCAAGTTGACCATTTTCAAACCAATATTTGACCAAGTCAAAAAATTTCATGTTATTTAAGGATTCTTAGATGTGTTGTTGACCTTCTAATGTGTAAGGATACAATATCCTCGTTAAATTCTCCTACCATGTGTTAGCTGAATTATTAGAGATTATGTTGCCACATGTCATGTCATACTTATGTCAAAAAAAATTCACCATATGTCAAATTTGCTTCAAAGATTTTACCAGATATCAAACCTTATTATTCATCTTAAATATTTGCTACGAAATGTCACATGTGATATTAGAGATTTCATCATATCAAACACATTGTCCATGTCAACTATTTTATACCACATGTCCATTGTGTTGTTATACTTTTGTCACATGTCATATGCATTGTCAAATCTTTACCACATGTCACATGCATTGTCATATCTTTTACATGTGTCCTATGTACTGTCAAATCTTTGCCTCATTTAGTATCCATTGTTAAATCCTTATCATGGTTGGTATGCCCCTTGTTAAATCTAAGATAGGTCAACACAATTTTATGGGTCCACACTATTAAAGTCAACACACTAACTAGTAGGTTTCTCTTGTAAATTGACTTATTCTGATCTAATTTGACTTGGCTTAATGCTCATATGGCTTTAGACTTATGCTTTCCTTATTTTACAAGTAAAAAACTCATCTACAACAATCAAATCTACATCTAAAGATTCCTTATTTGACAAGTAATTATTGCATTTCAATTTACCTCACTATAATTTTTCATATTTAGATTTTATATGATTAGTTTATTAGCATGAAAATCAATAGCCTCAACACTAGATAGAATTATGAATCCAATATTATAGAAGTGACCAAATTTCATCACTTGAATGATCATAATTAAGGTGAGCAATTAAAGCCAAGACCCACATACTTGAAAAGAGTGGAGTAAGTTGGAAGCTAAACTATTATCAAAATCCTCATGTAATAAGCATGCCTTGAAAAATAGTGGGCTATATAAACTACTCTAACCCAAGGGGTCATGTAATTTATGTACTCTTAAAACAACTTAAAATTTACCCAATTAATTCAACAACTCTCTCTTGGCTACTATTTTTGTCTCAGTTGGGCCCAACCAAAGCATGACGTTGGATTGGTTAAATGCCAAATAGTTATGTAATTTATAAAATAAAATAAAGTATAGAACTGATTACAAGTATGGAAGGTGCCCATATTTGATTAATACTAACCACAAAAATGATCATCATTAACTAGGAACGTGTGTTGTAAGATTTCCAAATTCAAAGAGTAATTCCTTGATTATAGTTCCAATCAAGAATGAATAATTTAAATGTATAACTGTAAAATATGAGTATTTTAGTTTAACCCTTTTTTTTACACACAACTAACGTAAGTTTATCTAATGTCACAAAGTTACAATTAGCTCATAAGGGTTATTTACACTACAACATATTTTTTGAATATTTTTCTTAGGAACTTACTCTCATATTTTCTTCCTATGTTACACATCATCACACAACCAATTCAAATCTTATGGGTTAGAATTAGCATTTATTCACAAAGAGTAACCATATTTTAGCATGCAAACCAATTAGTGGGGTTGACAATTATGAGACAAGTTGCCCAAGATGAAAGCATTAAACAATATTTAAGCTCTACAAGGTCCTGGGTTCGAAGAATCAATGTGTTAAGCATTAGACAATGTAGAAGAATGATTCCATAATTGTTATTAAAAATCAAACAAATACCAACATTAACTCCTAGTTGCTAAAAAATGATCTTCATTAGAGTTTATATTTTAAGAGAAGTACTAATCTAATCATACTCAACATTTCCTCTGATGTTCATAACTATACAAATAGTTTAAATCAGTTCTAAATTTAATAAAATATTTAAAAATAGTAAGCATTCAGACATTTTCACAAAAATTGGATCAATAGTAGTTATCATAACTCATTTGTGGGCTTCATTACTAGTAATCATGGGACTGCCCCAAAGATCAGCCAAGTTGATAACATTTTAGGACTAGCAAACAATATCATTCTGACTTGATCCTTGATTTGATCATCACAAGTGGTAGACCTCTCTTTAATACCCTTTCCATGATACATACAAAACACACATTTTCTAGACGCTAGGCTTTGCCCGGTCTTTAAAATCAAAATTTGAGACCCATTCTCTTCAAAAACTTCCTCTTTATTTCACTCTAAATTTGGTAGCCAATTGTGAATCACGCAATATAACCAATTCACTCGCGTGGAGTCAATCAGGCTTAAATGGCTACCCCATCTTTTTCTTAATCCAATTCTTTTACAGGCTTAAATGGGCGTGACTTCAATCATAACCAACAGGCCGCCATCCTCTGTTGAGGCCCACTGTCCCTTATGTGTGTGTCAGAGCAGTAAGCAGTCTGTTTGTACGCATGGGACGGCAAGCGAAGCGGAGCTACGAAGAGCAGCATGTGGTCTTCTGATAGAGGCGGCGGCCGCGGATTTGCACCTGCGGGGGCCCCGCCACTCCAGCAACTGGCTGGGTCGCCATCCTGAAAACGGAGAAAATGAGAAACCGCAGGGAAAGGCCCCCAGTGTGGAGGAGGGATATCTACCTGCTCTTTATCTCAGCGGTCATGGCCATGAAAGCCCGCTCCACGTTGGTCGCGTCCTTCGCGCTCGTCTCCATGAACGGGATCCCCAGCTCGTCCGCAAACGCCTGGCGAGCTCCGAACTCAGTGTTTCTCAGAGCCAAAAACACAAATTTTTGTATGGCATCGGCGTGAAATAACCTTCGCGGTCTCATACGGCACCGCCCTGTTCTCCGCGAGATCGCACTTGTTCCCCACCAGGAGCCTACTGACTTCCCGGCCCGCATATCGGTCGATCTCGCTCAGCCACTTCTTCACGTTGTTGAAGCTCTCCCCCACTGTCACGTCGTATACTACCTGTCAGCACAAGTTGTGGCTACTCAAAATCCTTCCTAAAATAGCACTTTTCAGCCATAAAAAGGGTGGTGCGGTTCTACGCCTTGAGCACGCACAATGATCCCGTGGGCGCCACGGTAGTAGCTGCTCGTTATCGTCCTGAAGCGCTCCTGCCCGGCCGTGTCCCACTGTTACATAGCATCAAGCATGAGAGAAAGAGAGAGAAAGAGAGAGAAAGTGAGAGAGAGAGAGACAGACAGACAGACAAACAGACAGACAGACAGACAAAGTTCTCTTTGAGCAGCCCCAACCACAGAAGAAAACCTCTAATGACGGGTTTAGATGCTGGTGACAGGTAGGGCATGGCATAAGGTTTGTATAAATTAATTAAATTTGTTATAGGTATGATGGGCAGAGCTAGAATGCAAAAAACTCACAATCTGGAGCTTGATTGTCTTCCCATCTTTCTCGACGGTGCGGATTTTCTGTGGAAATGGAAACAGCACAACAGGATCTCAGTAAGGCAACCTTCGGTATAAGCCGAGGGGAGGAGGAAACACGATACGCACAAAGTCAACTCCAATGGTGCTTACATAACCCTCCACATACGAATCGTCCTGAAGTAGTAAGAAAGGGGTTAGATTTCATGTGAACGGGGCTCCACAGATCGGAGGGCCTCCACAAATGACTATGGTCGCATTCAAGAAGATACGGAGACAAAATAGTTTCATGTCGGAACAAGGCTCCAGCTGCCGATGTAGCTTCCTCCAAGCGCCCCAGGGGCCGCAGGCATGATTAAATACTTGAAAAGGCCGAAAATGCGGGAATACTGTGGATTTCAGCATGTCTCAAGGGACAGAACCTCGTTTTGAATCAACATTCGGTATGAATCTGAATGCTATTTCGGCTTGAAACGAAGCAAACTAACGATATTCATGCAAGCTTTTCTGCTCCGATTATATAAATGCAATCCAAGAATTTTCGAACACCCATCATCTTTTGCGAGACTATAATAAAAAAATAACCGAATTCATGCAGATTCATTATCACTCTTTGTTGACGCTTCTACTATGACGAGGCCATCCTAATGCACTGCATCATTGGCGACATGAAAAATGTCCAAGGATCTTGATCGGCAGCTTTTTTATCAAATTTGAAGGTCGAGAAATGACTGATCAGTAGGAAGAAAGAATCACGGCAAAAATGTCTCATAAGAATCACAGATATTTGATCAATGGAAGAGAGAAGGATTTTAAGGTATCTGACAGAAGATTAACGGAAAAGGCAAGTGGGAAATAAATCTAGTTCTACTCCAAAAGTCTAACACGGAAATGATTACCATACTCACAGAAGTGAAGAAAGTCTACATGAGAGGATATTTTTACTATAAATTTTTTATTTCGGAGCGGGGGCAGTACTGCTGAGATGTACTATTCGCAAGAAACAGAGGCTATGCACTTATTAATCTTGCCATGTGTGAAAAGAAAATGATTCTAAATGTTCCTTCATTTAAAATTAAGGAAAATTTTAAAAAGGCAGGCAGTCCACAATTTCGCGCCTACTAGGATAGAGTGGATGGCAACATCTACAGCAGAAGATTTTGATACAGAAAGATCAGTACAAGTGCGGCATGGGATGCGCTCCATAACAGAAAAAGAAAGATGAAAAGGCATTTGATAGAAGCAGAAGAGATGGGATGAGTCATGCTGACCAGGAATGCTACAAAGTTGACTGGTCGAGTTAGCTCTTATGCTAACAACATTTAGTTGAGACTCAGTGGTTGATGATGGTGATTCATTTACAAGCACAGTCGAGTAAAAAAGAGAAAAGCTCAAAAGTTTAGTATGCATTGATTCCCTCTTTTTTTTTTCCCTTTTCTGTTGATGGGTTGAATGGGGTTGGAAGTAGTCTCATTCCTCGAATCTTAATCTCAGACTAAAGTGTGAAGCTACGGCCGAAGCAAGGGTGGGTGGACACTGGACATCTCATCTAAAGTTTGTGGGAATCAGCCCAGCGGGAAACCGGGCTCCCAAGGAGCACAGATCCAAAAAATTAACGATGACTCCACAAATATATGCGAAAAATCATAAAAAATAACAGATGTCACATGCAATTACAGAACTTCAGATTCAGAAGAGGAGGAATCGTTCATCAAAGGGAAGCCATACAGCAAAAGCGCACCAGGATTTCTCACCGCGAATCTCAGGAGGACGCAAGATTTGCCAACAGCGGAGTCTCCGATAATCAAAAGCTTGAACAAATAGTCACTGCAACAGAACCATCAAGGCAGTGAAATTATTTCTGAAACTATGATTTAAACTCAAATAGAATTTGGTATCAAGATCTCTCAAAATATTCCACCAAAATCCAGCCAGCTCTCAACAAACGTCAGATGAACTGACTACCACCAGCATTTACGCATTTGGAACAATTATCTCTACCTCGTCAATCCCTTTCACGCGTACAAGATATCTGTCACTGTATTCAAAAGTCCCAATTCACTTGAGCATGTGAAAATGATTAGCTATTCTTGAGATTACCGCATAATTTATGCCCTCAACTTCCATCATCAATGAAACAAATTCTGCAAAAAAAATAATATTAATAACGTTTCTGATCCTAACCATTATCCCTTTTATGGAAAAAGAAAGCAGAAATCTAGCCTTCGTTGAATTTGTGTGCATGCTTCCGTCTCTCTCAACCTAATTAAAATCGCTTTCCCGATCCAACTTTCAACAATTTTCAAGCCGGCACTAAAACCTTGGACAAGGGAGCCATCGGAATGGCCTCCTTTTCTCAAAATTAAACCCTTGCTGGATACTGAATGATGTTAGCAAGTAAATTTCGTATGGAAACTCGTGATTGTTTTAAGTAGGAAGGAGCATCACCCACAGAAAACTGTTGGCATACGCTACCAAACTTGTAATCGCGTCAAACAAAAATACATGAAAAAGTCTTGCTGAATACACTAATAAAAGAAAATTCCAGATGTTCAAAGGAAAGGTAGCATTACTGAGTCAACCAACCCCCCCCCCCCCTTTCAGCTTTCCCGAAACACCATTTACGCCTCGTTATTACTATTTCCTTCAACTTTCGCGTAAGGTGTCCCCTTCTTTCCATTAAACACAATAAATAATTGGACCTCAATGTTAGTCGTTTTCAGAATATGGCGGGATGGTAATGCGTCCAGCCATCTCCTTCGGCCAGGTAATCATCCATCAGCTTAGGGTCAACATCTCTTGACGATGTTGACGTCGAGCAGCAAAATTGTTTCGGGTCTATTCTACTTTAATTAGAAAGGTTCATCGTGTACCTATAACGTGAAATAAAACTATAACCACATGACACCAGGCCCAGCCGTGATACTTTTTCAGAGGCAACAAAGCGCCGGTGGCAATTGATGAAAAGGTGACAAAAAGATGGAAGGATCTGGCAGAAGCATCTCATCATCAGATGGTCTAACGAATGTCAGAGCGAAATTATGCAAAACTAACAGATAAAGAAGGAAGAATTGGTCCTCCTGGTACTTCTCATGAAAGAGGCAACCCAAAGTCGCACCAAGAAAGCGGGCAACAGATCAGACGATATCGCCTTCCCGAATTTCTCCGCCAAGAAAGCGGAATTCAGGAAAAAGCCCCCCCCTAAGATAGAGATACACGGAATCCGCCTACCCGCTCAACTTCTCCCAAAGAAAATTATGGAAATTCTCATTGAAGAAGACAGGCAAATAGAACAGGGAGTTTAGTCGACTCACTGTTCACCATTCATGACTGGAGAAGAGGGGTCGCTCAACGGGGCCGGCCTCAGAATTGGGTTCAGAACTCGGTGAGAACGACCGATCAGAATCGTGGAACAGCTCTCCACCACCCCCCAGAGCCCGGACCTCCTTCCTCGACTTTGTTGGCGGGGTTCGCGCAGACGGGGTTCGAAAAAAATCCGAAGAGGCCCCTCGAGGAGAGGAATGGAGCAGGAAATTCTCCTCCTCCCAAAGCCTACGCCGTTTTCATCTCGCGAGCGTCGGTGCGGCGAAGCACCGTAGCAGGAGTTCCCCTGCGGTAGCTGGAGAGAAGGATAAAGAGAACATTTGAATGACCCGCCAGCGCGCGTGAAGACTCCCTCCGAGTTGACCGTTGCCTACCGACAATTCGCCTGCCCTTCAGCGCAGGTCAAGGATGCGATACCCGTTTCAAGTTGTGATTTTTTTTCCCATAAATGGCTGGTGCGACGAATTTAGAACCCACTTGCGTCAAAAGTGTAGGTGTTTGTCTGGCAGACTGTCTGTCTTCTGATTTGACCCCCAAAATTGATTTCCAAATAAGAATACTTTATGCCCCTCTCTAGCATTTTTAGTACCAAGAAGCAAAGGATGCGCAATTAATTGACCATGGTGATGGTTCACGCCCTTATGGACTAGAAAACCTCTAGTGCAACGAAACCCAACACAGTATTCGGTGCCAGAACAGGTACAGATAGCGCTGCCAAGGTCCAACGGTTGCAGCAATGGCAAGCAAACCTGTGACAAGGACCGGGGAGGACCCGAAACAGCCATGACGACTCGACAAAACAGCTTGTCAAGGCGAGGCTGCTTAATCTGCAAGGTGAGGAATGAAGATATAATCAATTGGATGAGTATTTTTCTTACTCCAACTAAAAAATTAATGAGCTCATTACGTTGTCTCATAACTGGAATAATGGCCAAAAAATTATTACAATAGAAAACTTAATGGCCATAAAAAATATTGCACTTTCTAAAGAAGCTTAATGGATTATTATATAACTAATAGAAAACTTGTCTTGGGATGATTCAAGATGAATAATTTTTCTCTTCATACCCATTTCATATTGTAGAAATACTGAAAAGGGCAAGCTTGTTGAAAACTACGGGTATGATTAGCATACGCTACTTGCTTTTAACGAAGCAAACCCAGCAAAAGGATACACAAGGGGCTCCAGTCCATGCATAAGGGAAAAAATTTAGAAAAATGTTATTCTCTAATGGAACTATCAGCTACGCTATTTACCCTCAAAGACCCAACATCTCTCATCTAAAAAATGTCTTATCATTCTGTTTCTATAAATCATCAACTATTCATGAGGTGATCTCATTATTTACATTTTGTGATAATTAAAGGTGCATAAAGAATAAATAACACTTTTCACTTAATCCTCCAACAATGGCATACTCTATCAAAGTACATTGGATTCTACAATGTACATTGGATTCTATCCCATACTTCAGTCACAAAACTTAACTATCAACATAAAAATTTGAGATCTTAAATGTTGTAGAAGGTAAAGTTCCTTCTTTTCATCAACTAGAAAATAATAATGAACATATCAATTCTTGAACTTGGACCAACATTTTTAATCCAGGAACAAAATGGAATCACGCACTTTTCAACATGAGCTTGCTCAAAGTCTTGAGAGAAGGAAATACTTCTAATTATGAAAATCAAGTGACATCCAATATAGAAATATCTAGCCTTTCAACTCAATTGTGAAATGAGGTATCATCCTCAACAAAGATATACCAATAAATTATTTTTCTCAATGTGAAAAATTCATTGTAGAAACCAGAAATCAAAGTGACATTCAATACTTGACTCTTGCACTTTCAGTTGATTATCACTCATGGTTTCAAGTATGCACTACGAAGGATTACTATTTTATCATACACACGGAGAAAAGACATATTCTTAGATGGTTTGGACCCTAAAGTGTTTTCACACTTTCCAACTCTTAGGTCCCATTAAACTGATCACATTTTTTCCTTGCAAAGTTAATGTTAAATCACCAAACACACCAACATTTTTGTGGCTAGTCCACCAAACCATTTAGTATCCATAGTATGAAGTCATTGAACATACTAATATTTGACAATATTATATTAGTTACGTATACAACAATCTTCTATCTCACCAAAAGCTTGTAAGCTCAAACTGATTGGTTCATTCTTTCAATTATATTCAGCTAATTTTAATGCAAATGAGATATCCATGAATTTACCAAAAAATTTGAATCTTTGTCATCAAAAAACTATAAAAGAGATATCCATGAGCATAAGTTATTTTCGTCAATGCATCAATGGGTCACCTAATGTTTTTTATATGTGCATATTATTGACACGAGTTTTTCATAATTTTCTGAAGCTTGCTCATAAATGGTTGTTACTTTACTTTGAAATAATTTATAATTGTGCATCAGTTATAGTAAATTGATTTCATTGCATATAGAGTAAGCATTGTGTATACTTTTGAAACATCATATCATATATTTGAAACATTCTTTTGCTCATTTTTCTCTAGTAGAATAAATAATTTTAAAATTATTATAACATTAATTTAAATTTATTGGATGTGGCTACATATCTACATATAGGGGCATAATATTTTCACGATATAAATAAATTACAACCATTGAAGGCTTTGGATAGGAGAATAATAAAAGAAACCGTAATTCTATAGTAGTCTAGTCTACTTCAAATGAATACTTTTATTAAAGATTTAATTTGGATATTTAATAAGATGCCTCTACTTACAAAATATGTCTTTTGAGGTGAAAATTATACCTTATAAATTATTAAAAGACTTACTAAAATATAAATTTACTAAAATATGATATTAAACAAAATGAAAGACATACGAAAGCTCAAAAGATACTCATAAATAATTTAAGTGACCTAGAAGGCTTCTTTTCTCTATAATATCATCAAACATTTAGAGGGAAACTCTCTATATCAAAAGAATGGTTCTCCAACTATTATTACAATGATTCAATTGTTGCTATTTTTTGTTGTTATTTTGGAAAATATGTCAATTCAACTTTCTAGCAATGTTCCCTCATGGATGTCATGTGACAAAACCCAAGTTTGACAACAAGGGTATATTTCAGCACTTGAACCATTTTTAGTGTCAACTCTTGTATTATCTAGATTAGACACCATGTTACAAATATTGAACCTTTGTGTCAACTATTAACTAGCAGATGATGTCTTTTGTCATCAAGCCTTAACCCAAAGCCCTCTAAAATCAAACCTCATGTGTTTGGTAATTTTTTTTCATATGTCTCAATACCAATACCTACCAATGTCTGCCCCATTACTTTGATGCCTAAGTTGAAGTTCTATCACTAAGACGTCTCCTTCATCTGATATGACTGACATGAAAAAATATTATTGGGATACAAAAGGTGGTATTGATAGAATCTTTCAACCCAAAGCCCATGAACTATTTTGACCCTTTTTAAAATTATCACAAAGCTAATGCATGATTTCACTTTCCTGAAATTGCAAACATTCATGTGGAAGAAAAGTTTAGATTGATGTACTTCTCAAATGTTTTTTATTTTTATCTGGTTAATTGTGACTTCAATTCCCTCTATGCTTTTAACACAAAACTAGGGAACATATGTCTAATAAAAAGGATGTAGAAGATTTTATGATCATAATTTTCTAATTTAATCAAACATTATCAACAAAAGCTATAGAGAGGAAAGGTTTAAATAGTAGACTAGAGAAATCATCATGAAGAGCCTACTAACTAAATTAAATGCTTACTTTCCATTTTCTATTGACTGGAAAACAATGATTAAAAGACCCTATATCTTATTGGTCTCCAGTATGGATCATACCCATTTATATGAGAAATATTCAAATAGATTTGTATTAAAAGTTTAAATAAAAATACACATTCACCTATCCCTTAAATAGAATCACATAATGAGGTAAAACTTTATGGAGTTACATGTGCTTAAAATACATAAAGTATCATTATTAACCCTAATCAAGTATTTCTATGAAGTTTTATTTAATGATTTCATGTATTTAAAATATGTTTAACCTAAATAAATAAAATAAAATAATTCTAACAATAAATGGTCAGTATAAGAAAATTTATTTAATCGTGTCAACCTTTGAAAGCAGAAATTAATTTTAATAACAAGTGATAGTCATGTGGTAAGTTGGATTGTGTCAAACGTGTTTATATATATGCTTGGAAAAGCCAACTTTCAAGTTTTAACTACACTTTTAGAAATAGCAACTTTCAACTAATGTAAAAAAAGTAGAAAAAATCCCACGTCGTGTTGGCATGTGAAACGCCAACATATACCCCAGCCATAGTCAAACAAGTAGAATTAGTCTTTTCCTAAAGCATAGTATTATTATGGAATATGTAAAATGTATAACTATAAGATATGGCTTGCAAAGAATAACCTAGTCAGCGGATCATCATCCACTAGTGCCGTTCGCCATTTAACTTAGGAGCATTATGGACGACATTGACAGATGGCGCCATGTGCCTCGTCATCATATTTTATTACTCTTTTCTTCGCGCTCGGGTGTCGAAGGCCCAACTATAGCACCTCGTAACCTCTTTCCCACTTCACCCACCCATACGTCCGTGGGGCAGGCTTAGACTCAACATTCTCAGAGAGAGAGAGAGAGAGAGAGAGAGAGAGAGAGACGCCCCCCCCCCGGGTGGGTAGGAGCGGGTCGAGTCCGTATCGCCGCGGAGCAACTGCAGCGTCCGAATCACTCTCTCTCTCTCTCTCTCTCTCTCTCCCATCTCTCTCTCTCTCTCTCTCATTCTCTCCCCTCTCATATTTTGGAAGTTCACGTCACAAGTGACATGACCAGTGAACACAAGGTTAGCTCCCATTAATAGAGTGATCATAGGAGAAAAGCTGGCTTCCCCTTGATTAGCTGCTGACTGGCTCCCTCGACTGATTTTAATGGAATGCATGTGGAGAGACAGTTATGGAAGGAATCCCACCTGACCGTTGAATATACAGTAGATATTTAGATTTACTGAATGAGGTTCATGAGCTCCGAAAGAATCACCGAGGGATTGATTCATAAGTTCTGAGGGACATCTCGAACACACACCGAGAGGCTGCCCGGGGAGGGGGACAAGGAGGCGTTCGGGCCGGCGGCCGGCGACGACACCGGCCGGAGGAACGCGCGGGGATGCACCGGCATGGCGGCGTGGGGCGACAGCTTGAGCCGCGCCCTCGTGCTGCCACTCCTGGACGGGGACGGGGCACCTGCAAGAAACAAACGTCTCAGCTGTCATCACTTTGGCGTTTCTCCTCTTCCCCACCTTGGGGCAACCTCCGCTCATCTGGCAAGATAAGCGAGAGATGAGAGAGAGAGAGAGAGAGAGTTGTTAGTGGCGCGGGGAGTAATCAGACGGCAAACGGAAGGCGCCGAGTGATGGCGATTTCTCACCGAACGCCACCATCTACTCTTGGGAGTAAAGAATGCCTCGACCCCAACTCATTGGTTTCGTCGCCTTTATTAACATTTATGTGTGAATCGCTCGAGTTCTCGAGTGCATTCGCAGCAAGTATCAGGCTACGTGACGCGGGGGAGGACCACCATGCGAGCCGAAGCGGCTGTAGAGAGAGGGAGGGAGAGAGGTCAGAGTCTCGCCATAAGCTCCAAGCCTCACCCCCGTTCTTGTAATCCACAAGCCGGGTAAGTTTCTTCAAATTCCCGGAGAAAATTACTGCATCAAATGATGGCAGTAGACGCGTGATATAATAATTTAAAAATGAGTCTTAAGAAAACTCAAATAGCAGCTAGCATGAGTAGAATAAGACCATTTTTCTACGTAGCTAACCCACCTCTCCGCTTTGCTTCGCTGGCTCCCTCTGTACTCCATCCATCGATCCGCCTCTCTCTCTCACCGCCCATCACCCCCCGGCCCTATTTATACCTTCTCCCTCTCTTCTCCCCTGCTACACCGGCGGATCTCTCTCTACCTTCCCTTCCTCGCGGATAGTCTGGTCTTCTACCCCCGCTGGTCGACGGGACTCCAGCCATGGCCAACGCTCGTGGAGTTCTTGCTCTCACCGTCTGCATGGCACTTGTAGCCTGCTGCATTGCCCAGGCCCCCGCCGCCGCGCCGACCGCCACCCCGCCCACCTCCGCTCCGCCACCACCGGCCCCAGTCTCCCCCCCGCCACCCGCAGTCGCCCCCGTCTCGCCGCCGCCGGCAGTTGCCCCAGCCACACCACCACCCGTCTCCTCTCCTCCCGCCTCGTCTCCATCGCCGGTGTCAGCTCCGCCACCGGCCATTACCCCCACCGTCGCTCCCTCGACGCCGCCCACCAGCGAGGCGCCCACCAGCGAGGCCCCCACCAGCGGGGCGCCAACCCCTACCAGCGGGGAGCCAACAGCAGCCCCCACCCCAACGATTGCTTCCCCGCCCGCGTCTTCACCGACGGCGGATACCACTCCTGTGGGGGTGGCCCACATGACGCGCAGCAGCTTTGCCCTGCTTGCATTGGCCGGAGGCATGGCCGCTCTCCTCTTCTAGGGGATGGGCACTGTAGAGATTATTTAATCGACGACAGCGCCATTTTTTTGTAATATTTTTCCCCTGTTACCCGATTTGATCTCCCTCCTTTGTCTTGGATGTCATTCCTCTTATGGTTCGGCGAAGTAGCATCGTGTCTTGGGCAGACTATCATCATACACTGTACTCATCATCTGTACTCTAGACTAATAAATTGTCATTTTCTGGTGATGCCCCTATGGTTAGAGTGGAGACGAAGACGACGACGACAGTGATGAAAGCTCTAGTTGGGGAAGGAAAGAAGGAACCCAATAGATCACCCCTCAAGATTCTTGGCAAATGAGAGAGAGAGAGAGAGAGATCAATGAAGGGGGGAGCTCCTGTCCAATCCGTGGACTGGGTATGAATGAGCTCCCATCCTTTTAGCTTCTCAGAATTTCTCCATCTAAAAATCATATGATCTTCGTTTTTAGAAATCCCTGGCTCACGGTGGCTTGTAGCGTTCTGAAGACAGCGTCACTTGCGATTCTTCCCACGAATCAAAGGCGCTTGCATAAATTCCTGTGGTTACCCAGATGGACCCCCTCTCCCACGTTGCCTCCACGCTCTATGGTGTCCGCAAAAGAGTCTCCTTTCCTCAGAATCTTACGTTAGGTCTGGGCGAAGAAAGTTGGCGTTTACGAGAAGACAGCTCACACCAGTACAGTGCTAGCTGGAGACTGTCGGTTGTCGGCGTCCACGTGAGGCAGTGGCCAATCGAGAACGACCGTCCAGGTTGTCCATTGACGGGCCGGTGAGGCTCCTCGCCGTAGCTCGGGACAGCTGGAACAGCCAGAAGCCTGAGATAGACGCCACGTGCCGCGGTTGCCCTCAGCCTGTGGGGGCGGGCCTGTCGGCCGTTCCTGTGTCTTATTTTATTGATCATGGCTGGATCTACCTCTGCTCGTCGCCCCTTAACCAGTAAAATGGAGCACCTCCCATCCCCCCTTAACGGTAACATCCAACGATCTGCGGTGAAATAGTTGACCCAGTTAGCTGTTATACACGGGAGGCTCGAACAATGAGAGACCCACAGAGGGTGACCCCCGTCTGGATTAGATCTTGTTAGATCTGGTCCTTGTGGTATTTATGGCAAGGATTAGGGTAATGAAGCTTCCAAACCAGACCCAATTACGGTAATCTACAGGAGCCTCAACCCAAGAGAGAGGCCACTCAGAGGGCGATCCCGGTCTGGTTAGACCTCGTTAGATGCTGAGCGTGTGGTATTTATGGCAAGGACAGATTAGGGTTTCGCAGCTTCCGAGCCAGAGCCAATTAGGGTAATCTACAGAAGGCTCAACCCAAGAGAGAGCACCCTCAGAGGGCAACCCACGTCTGGTTAGATCTTGTGCTTGTGGTATTTATGGTAAGGAAGGATTAGGGTTATGAAGCTTCCAAGCCAGGCCGATTAGGCTTTTACACAGGAAGCTCAACCCATGAGAGAGCCCCGTCAGTGGGCAACCCACGTCTGGCTAGACATTGGTAGGTCTTGAGCTTCTGGTATTTATGGAGAAGAAGCATTAGGCCTTTGAAGCTTCCAAGCCACCCTGCACAACTGGCGTTCCATTGGAGTCAGAATTGATGGGCACTGTCCTACCAGCGTCATGATCAAATTTCCGGTTTAAAAATTTTTGGAAGAAAATGTCAAACTTTCGCTATGATCCGGGGTATTGATATAAGCAAATAATACATAATTTCCAGAATCTCGGACGTGTATGACAGCGGCTGGACAGGCCTAATAATCCACCGACGATTGACCACGGCGCTGCACCGGCACCGCCCGCGGGCCGAAGTTTCTTTATTGGGATCCAGCTGCACCACCCCCTTTCCGGCTTGCACCGGCTTCCCCACCTCCCTTTGCTTGCTTAACGGTGTAAGTAATCTCGAAACAGAGAGAGAGAGAGAGAGAGAGAGGGTCAGAGGGAGAGAGACGACGGGCCCCTGTAATGAAATCTGAGCCGGATCCGACAATGCTGAGATGATGATCATACACAAACGAAGCAGTAACTTACATCGGAGTCAAACCTCCGGAGAGTTGGCCAACCGTCCGTAATCGGCCGAGTTACTGGCGGTCATTTGCGGGTGTAATTACTGTCGTATTGACTTTGTGAGCCCAAGGCCCTGTCGTCGTTGTCGCTAGCATCTGTCTTCCACTTCATGAGCCCTGACTTCCTGTCTGCCATTGCAGCCTACTCCTCGTCCCCATCGTCAAACAGTCCGCCTTTCGTCTTCCTCCCCCCCCCTCTCTGTCACTCTCTCTCTCTCTCTCTCTCTCTCTCTCTCATGCGTCTTTTCGAAGTACCTTGAACCTCAAGCATGACAGGATCGAACTGTTCTTCACATCCTTGACTGAGTCCTCTCTTCCACAGCACTCGTATTCGCCAGAGTTTGTGCTGTATAAGCACAGCCCACAGCGGTAAACTGAGGGAATCATACTCCGGAGCTCACCTTTGATGGGCACGAGGATTCCAGCTCGTCGGTCGACTTTCGAGAGACAGTGCTGCTGCTTCTCCAGCAATTTGAAATCCCGGAAAAGCCCACTGAATGATGAAAAAGGTATCTCCTGTTTCCATTTTGGTCTCCCACTCTCTTACAAACTAGAGCTCGAGGGTAGCTTTTGAGCTACCCTAAAATCCATTTGATACAGAAACGCCCTCTCTCTCTCTCTCTCTCTCTCTCTCTCTCTCTCTCTCTCTCGCTCTCTCTCTGACTCTTGCGTGAGAAAACGTAGAGACCTGTCTTGGTGCGGGGAGGTGGCTCGCATGAACCACCGTCCGGGGCTTACAATATGCAGATTGTTCGTTACTTTATTATTTGCAGAAAGGCAATGAAACATCTTATATTAATTTATTGGAATCAAAAAGAGTATGGAAGAAAGAGTAGGGTGGGGAGTTCACAAGCCGGGCCTCACCGCGCCGTACATCTCATCGCAGACCTCGGGGGGCTTTTGCAGTGGCTGACAGAGATCCTCCCCGTCGGGGCACCCTTCAAGGCAGTTGTCCCCGAGGCGGCCGATGACGGCGACGCCGCCGAGGAATCCCTGCGGCACCTTACCATTGAGGAAGTTCCCATCGAGGAAGAGCCGGCGGAGAGGACTCCCCGTCTTGCCGCCGGCGTACTGCGAGGGGATCGCCCCCTTGATCCGGTTGTGCCGCAGAGTCAGCGACGTCAGCACCGGGAAGCCCGCCAGCTCCGCCGGCAGCTCCCCCTCTATCCGGTTGTACCCGAGATCCAGCGCCACCAGCTGCGGCGGTGGCGGCGCCGCCTCTCCCACCGCGAACCCCGAGAGGCTGTTGTTCGCCAGGTTCACCTGCTGGAGCGCAGGCAGCCGGAGAAACCAGCCCTCCACCAGGCCGCTGATCCGGTTCGCCGCCATCTCCGCCACCTCCAGGCGGTGCAGGCCGGCGAAGGTCGCCCGCGAGATGGGCCCCGAGAGCGCATTCCCTCGCAGCGCCAGCGCCACCAAGCTCGGCGGCAGCGCCGCAGGCAGCCTCCCTGACAGCTTATTGTAGCTGAGGTCGAGGCTTCTCAGCGCGCCGATCCTGGCGAGCTCCGCGGGAACCCGGCCGGTCAGCTGGTTGTGCGAGAGATCGAGCAACTCCATAGCTCGGAGATCCCCGAGGGAAGATGGTATCGTCCCCGAGAAAGCGTTGAAGGAAAGGGAGAGGGTGCGCAGGCGGAGCAGATGGCGGAGAGAAGAAGGGAGGGGACCCTTGAAGCTGTTCCCCGAGAGATCGAGGTGGGAGAGGAAGGAGAGTTTCCCGACGGCGGGGGAGAGGGAGCCCTCGTAGCCGGCGTCCTCGAGGACCACGGCGGTGACCCTGGTGGCGCCGCCGGCATCGGTGGCACCGCACGAGACGCCGCAGACAAAGTGAGTCCTGCGCGGGGTGGCGCAGGGGTCGGCGGCGGAGAAGTCCCAGGTAGCGAGGCAGGAGCGGGGCGGGATGGAGGAGGCTGCCAACGCTGCCTTGACGGAGGCGAGGGCTGCGACGTCGCTGGGAGCGGTGAGCGCTGCTGCGGCAAAGGGTGAGAGCAGGCCGAGGAGGCCCAGGACGAGGACTGGGGACGGCAACATAGCTATCGCCACCGAGAGCGCCGCTCCTTCCCCGCAGCTCGAACCAGAGTGGGTACGACTGTGGAACATACCGCTCAGTTTCATATGGGGACGTACCCGGCCTACTCCAGTCTGTATGCATATACATACATATATATAGATATATATATATAGACTTAGGATTGGTTAGGACACTGAAAAGCCGGAAGAAACAATGATTGAGACGTTCATCGTCGATCTTAACCCTGGGAAATTCTCATTCTTAGTTCCTCGTGAACTGGTTGAACCATGCAAAAGCCCTCGCGTATTTGGATTCGAAATACTTTCCTCCCCTAACCAATAATTTCATAAGAGGACTTCAACTACTCTCCGACCAAGATCCCGCTCTCCAAGTGTGTGTCACCCAACTCCTGGGTTCCACAAATACTTGCAAAAATTACGCACCAGATTTTGCGGGTCAACCAGGCGCGGTAACATGCAGCGTCTACAGCGAGAAAAAGATTGAAACGTACAAGTGCAGATATTTATGACAGTATTTAGAAGCCTTTAAGGTATCTCCTCCCTGCGTCAGAAATGGTCAATGGAGAGTCTTTAATGCCGAGGATGCATCGGCAAGTTTACCTGTATGATTTCGTCGCCACGTACCCAGCTTCCCCTCATTTACGTGACCTAAGCTCTACTTAAAATGAAACAGGGCACGATCGATAGTGATTGCGGCTGCACAGCGATTAAATTTAATATCTGATTCTTTGACCATTGAAAAAGAGTCTTTTATCCGCATAATTGTTAGGACATTACGGAGGATGTCAACAGGCTCGTGTATCCGCTCGATCCAAACGCCAAGCTTAGAGAATGGATCGACAAAGCGGCGTGTAGGTTCCCAGTGAAGGAGACGACAGTCACGCAACGGGTGTTTATAAAGGTAGTCAACGACGCTGGGAAGAAGATGAAGAAGAAAGATGTTAGATGGACAGTATTTTTCCTTTGCATGTTTGATTTCTACAATAATTACCAGTGCGGCGATCTATTTGCCGCGACCATTATCACGTAATGGTGACCGGGCACCTGAACATCCTCCCACCAACCTACTCGCTGGTGCACGCTTCCCTCAGCCAGCCACCCCCCCCCACTGCCATTGCACTGTAGAGAGAAAGAGAGAGACCACTCTCCCTGCCTTCGACGTACTCTCTCTCTCTCTTCCACGTGGCTCCGTGAGAGAGAGAGAGAGGGAGAGAGACGGAAACTGCGGCTTTGTCGGCACGGAGAGAACGGGAGTGGGACTTTGGGACGGGCGGTCGAGAAATGATGGAGAGAGAGAGTGCTCCGGTTGGAGAGAGAGAAAGAGGATGGGACAGCACACTGTGCCTTTGCCGTCGAATGGGAGACGGAAAGACGGAGGAAGCCTGGTGTGCGCAGAGAGAGAGAGAAAGAGCTCGGTCGGGTTGTAGAGCGGAGTGCGCTATTCGCATCAGAGGTGGTGGCGACGTGGATGGGCGAGATCCCTGAGCCTTCTCGGCCTGGCTCTGGATTCTCCGAATTTAGGGCTGAAAAAACAATGTATCCACTTTGTTCCACCCTCAAAAGGAAGATCATCCTCGACTAGTTTCTCTCGCTACATTATTGTCTCATAACTCCCGACGTTACCCAACATCTCTCTCTCTCTCTCTCTCTCTCTCTCTCTCTCTCTCTCTCTCTCTCTCACACACACACACACACTCTGAGTCTTTGGTAGGCGTGAATGAAGGCTAGACTAGGCTTATTTCGGAGAGGGCCGAGCTTTAAATGGTTCTAGCCCAGAGGCCATCACATGTGGTTTTTGTTTTCTATGGGACCCGCCTCGTTGGAGGCTGTTGACATCCAAGATTGTATGCTATGTTGACGTTGATTTGGACTCATCATAACGAAACTCTCATGGGAAGGAATCTGGTTCTGAAGGCACCAGCAGATCTGAGAAGGTATGACTTGAACTCGGAAAAAATATAGTAAGGATTTGATTATTAAAAGGCTTCCCAATGCAAACGTATACTGTTCTAAGGGCGAAAGGAGATCAGACTACTCATGAAATAGGGTCTGGCGAGCCTTTTCCAACCATTGAGCCTTAAAATCAAGTCTAGAACAATAGAATGCGCTCATCGTAGACCGAGTGCTGTATACAAAGCTTGACTCAGCATTTAAAGGCTTGGTCCAGAAGCTTGTTTGCCCTACCCTTTCCCTGGGAAGAAACATGGATACTTCCCCTTCCTCTCACTCACCTCGTCAGGGGTCAAACAGCTCCACCCCTTGCCTCACGCTATAGAGTGGTTTATGAAATTCGACGACCTTGATCCAAAGCGAGGCTATTCAATCCTTTAATCTCAACTTTAGTAATGCTTTTGTTGGTTATTGGAGCAAAAGTGGAGATAAGAGGGATGTAAAAATTGGGCTTTTCACGTTGTTCTTAAAAGGTCAAACGATTTCTACCTCGAACCTACATTTATTTTGCAATATAGAAGGAATTCAATGTTTTTACCGTGGTTCGGGTCCGTTACATGCTTTGCTCTTTAGAGGCCTCGATCCAAGATCCCACTAACCCTACTGGAGTCCACTTTATGAACGGAAAGGCTTAGCTCACCATTTATACATGCTAACATACTACACTTCATAGTGATAGCTCATTTTTTCTAATTTGATGGCTCTGTAATACGAATGTTTATTAATTACTTGGTACTAGTGATAGCCATCAACTAAGAAAAACCATCATAGGATAACGAATTTAAAATTTAAAGTTTCAACATTTTATATAGAGCTCTCTCCTACGAATGCATGGGTTTTGAAGGCAAGATATTTGGTACAATTGTTTCATTCAATAAATGCTTCCAAGAATATCTGAAATTTATGTGTACATTGTTAGAACTGAATGACACAAGTTCATATTTGATTACAAGCTTTATTTAGCGATTCCTAAAACATGAAATGATTGAAAAATAGTTATTTAATATTAATAATAGTTTCCAACATCATTCTCAACTGCTCACCTTCATGTTCTAAACCTTTTTGTCATTTTTATACTTTTGCTCAGTTGTTCCTTTTTTTCTTTTTTCATGTGATTTGAGTTAGCTTAAGGACTTGACATCTTCTTCTTTTTTTTGAAACAAGAAAAGAGTCCAAGTTATAGATATTAGATTCCGAAATTTTCTTTAAACTTTTCTAATATATCATTATATTTATTGTCTATCATCAGTTCTAGGATGATAGAGAATAAATATTTTGCTGTTGCACATATTTTTTCAGCAAGTGAAAAAAAGTGATGAATTTTTTAAATTCCTAAATACTATATTTCCTTATGGAATTTTATGTCTCATCGATTTCTACTCTCCTTTTTATCTCTTAAAACCTGATTTAGAACCTCTTGGGGACTGAGTAAACCCACCAACAGTGTTATCACTTTCTAGATTTAATTGGGTATAGCTGATCGAACTAAATTTGATTTTCCATTCCTTAGGACGATGCTGCACCCAATAAATGTAGTAGGAAGTTTTAATAAATGTTTTCGTCAAATTTTTGGGGTTAGAAACGTGAAAAAATGAATTGAATAAGATAACTATAGATCTCTTGACATTATGAGGGCTATGCATGCAGAAAATTAGTTAGCTTTTGGGCATGAATCTGAAGAAAAGCACAAATGTTGACCTCAAATAAAAGTATCAACATATATGCAAAATCTCAAAACTTGAGAGATTTTAAAATAAGCTAACCAAAAAATCTTAGGCGTTGACCACTTCAGCTTCGATGGTGACACCTGGGGAAAAGTGTCAATGTTATAGCCCAAAAGTGATAATACTTGATAAGAACTATGATGAAAACCAAAAACCATTTTCGAGGAAAAAGTACCAAGTAATATAATCAAAAGAAAAAGTAACACTTGATGAAGAGATCTTGATGATGGCATGCGTGACATTTGAAGGTACCATAGCATTTTTTTTTTTGTCCAAGATGCAAGGGTCTATTAATAATGATAAAATTCATTCGTCTACACTCATCACAAGTTCCCAAGCGTGTTAGAAAGTAGTTCAAGTTTTAAACTTTTTTGTCTTCTTATGAGTAGTGCAGCCTTGCTATTGAGTATGGTTCACATTTGCCATCTTGAGAAAGTCAACAAACATTCAGAGGTCTGGTAGATGCAATGTAGGATGAAATATATAATTAAGTTTGCAAAAAAAAAATAGTTAATTTTCTTTTAAGATGAGTCTTACATAGTGGAGTGAGCCTATGGCTAGACCAAATCAAGATAAACCTCATAGATTATTGTGAAATGTCATGATCATTGTTTTTATCTCCAGCACACACAGTACCTTGGCATGGTTTCCCTAGTCTAAAACTCTTCATTGACAAACTTCACACCCTCTTCCCCTCCTAAAACCTGTCATTCCGTTCCACTCTAACACCAAACTCCACCTTCCTTTGGTTCAACCAAAAAAAGAACAAATATATGACACCTAAAATTAGAAATATCCCAAGGGATATGCACAATTAAAAATTAATTATATGGAAAAAAATTAAAAAAATAATTATAGGAGTCCTACTAACTACTATCACTTAGGGAAGTTAGTGATGATAAAGGATGGTAGACTAGAGAAATGATGGATGGTGGAGACCAATGGGGAAATGAGGAAGACTAGAGAGATGATGTTGTCAGGTGATAGAGCCAAGACCATGACAAAGGGTAGTTTTTGAGCTTTTTAAATTCCTAAATTTGGAAAGATGGGGATGAAATTTCATAGCTACGTTCCTTGTAGGGATGCAAAATAAATTTAATTGAGAGAAAAAAATGTGGGGTAAAAAGTGGATAAATAATATTACACTTTAATCATGTATGTCCAAGTGGCATACTGACAAGGCATGTCTTCTGCCGTGTGGATGATTGGGGGTCAGCGTGGTGCAAATGTGGGAGAGATCCCACTTACGTAAATTCTAAATTTAGAAAAATGGGGTTTTTAGTTCATAGTTATGTTCCCTGCAGGGATGAAAAATTAATTTAATTGGTAAAAAAGTTTGAGAGTCAAAAATTGATAAATAGTAAAGACACCTCATTCATGTGATTCCACGTGGCATGCTGACCAGAGCATACCAACCACCACGTGGATGATAGGTCAGTATGGGCGAGAGGTGTTGTGAGATCCAACTTGCATAAAAATGGGGTCCACATTTCTTAGTTACATTCCCTGGGGATATGAAACATTAATTGAATTGGGTCAAAAATCTACGGGTCAGAAAATGGAGGAATAATATCACACGTTAAACATGTTCATACACGTGGCAAGCCCACCTAGACATGTGGATCGCCACGTGGATGACAAGTAAGCATTGGCGCCACATGAGTTAGATCAGACTTCATACATGCTAAATTCGGAAAAATGGGGTTTAAATTTCCCAGTTGCATTCCCATACCTAGATGCAAAATTAACTTAATCGTAGAAAATTCAGCGAGTCAAAAAATGAACAAATAATATCACGGACCAGCTGCGTCCACCTGGCATGCTGACCGCGCATGCCGTCCGCCACGTGGGTGAGATCGGGGCATGCTGACCAACAACGGGAGGATGGACTCGCCGTTGTTGGGCTTGAAGCCCAATTCCCATCTGCAACCCGCGAAGCGGGAGCTGCTCCCGAAGAGCAGATAAGGTCGCCCCTTTTTCCCCCTGATCCACTCCTCGGAGGCCAACCCTGAAACCCGCCACTACCCTTCTTCTTCCTCTGCGGAGCGGTCATGGGCTCCGGTGTGCTCCCCTCCCACGCAATCCTGTCGCTGCCGGCAACCACTGCGCCTCGTTCGAGGCTGAGGCTGCCATTCTCCGTCTCCTCCTCCTCCTTCGCTCCGCATTGTCTCTCCGTCGCGAGGATCGCCACGAGCTTCACGCCCGCAGGAGCGGCGAGGCGTGGGATTCTCTCCGCCGTCCGCGCTGCGGAGGATGAGGACGCTGCTGCCGTCGCCGTCGAAGTAGGAGGAGACTCGGCGGAGGAATCCTCGGAGGAGGGAGCTGCCGAGGTCCCAAGGAAGCCCATAGTCAAGCTCGGGGACATCATGGGGGTACTCCCCTATTCTTTCTCCTCTCCTCCCCCCTCCCTTCTTTCTACGGATTTTCGGAGATTTTACCAGTTTGCATAATCTACTGCAGATTTTGCACAAGAGGGCCATTGAGGCGTCTGAAACAACGAGGCCGGTGCCGGAGCTCAGGACGGGAGACATTGTAGAGATCAAACTGGTGAGTGATTGCAATATCTTAATCAGTTCATGGCCTTTTCTGTGATTCCCACGACCATAATCAACTTTTTTTTTCTTGATTCTCCCGACCATAAGCAATCTTCTAACTCTGCGTCGAATTCGCGATTGTCAACAGGAAGTTCCTGAGAACCGGCGCAGGGTTTCCATCTACAAGGGCATCGTGATGTCGAGGCAGAACGCCGGAATCCACACGACAATTCGCATTCGGAGAATAATTGCGGGCATTGGCGTTGAGATTGTCTTCCCAATGTAAGTTGCATCTTTCCATTCATCTCTTCCTGCTACGCCTTGTTCCATGAGTAGTAAGCGGATGAAGATCCACCATTTTCCTCAATGATGACCCTCTTTCCTGCTTAAAACTCTCGGGTGTCGGTCCCATTTCGTTGTCCTTGATGTCTGAGTTACCTTCATTGGCCCCTTTCCTACGATCTGCTGTCAGATAAACCTTCCCAATGTGGTTTGATGCGGTGAAACATGTCTGATCACTAAAAGGTCCAAAACCCGGTCATCAAATGGCCCCTTTCTCTTTCAGTGCTAGGTATTGATAGATGTTCTTCTAGTCGCCCATTCTCCGTTGAATCCCCTTGTTCGATCTGTCTTCCGTTTCAATTCCTACATTTTTTTTCTTTTCTCCCCCTTTTGGCATCCGATCTGTTCTTCAGGATTTTTGCCTCCACCCAATATTCTTCCTCATTACATAGAGGCATATGGATTTTTCCAAGGAGTGATCGACTTCCAGTTGGGCCTTTCCCCCTCTCTCCTTCTGCTACTCCATTGTTTGAGGAAGCACACGTTTCCCACTGATTCATTCTCCTAGTTAGGTTTGCCCTGCCCACAGGGGATGAGACGCTTCCTAGTCATTGGCTTGCTTCTACTCAGTGAAATGCTCTGTTTAGAGGATGCAGAAAGGATTTGTGACAGCCGCTCGACCAATTTTCGCTGTCGAGAACTTGTATTGGAGCAGCCGTAGCTGACCTGAGATTCAGAGGTTTTGGCATTTATTAAAAATTGCTCCGCCATTAGCTGAGGTTGACATCGATACAACCCCCACCCCACCCAAACTTTTCCCCCGTATTTATTTATCTAAGGGAAATGTTTGCTATCTTGTCTAGGAAACTTTGGCCTCTTATTTTTATTTCTGGGTCGGCAAGAATATTATTATGGGGAAACATATGGATTCTGATCTATAGACTCACCTCTGTGCCATAATGCCATATTCGGTCTTCTGACTGAGCTGTCGAGGACGAGGAAAGACGAGTCGGGTGATGTGCAGGACAAGTGTGAGGCCTTCCCAGCTATCTCTTGTTGAGAAGATGGGATCTGCAGCTTTCTCACCCAGGGAGAAGATCAGGAACGCCAAGAAGTGCCTGCCTCAAATCTGAACCGCTCATTGATCCAAGTAAATAGTGAAAATGTCAAACGGAGTGAATATGTCATAAAGCTGTCAAATCTTGAGATTTTGTTTTTGTAGATCTCACAGATTGGATGGGTTTTGTTATCTTCTCATGGTTCGCCCATCAGTGATTCCGTCCTCATATAATTGAAGCAAATTACTCTTTCATTCTGCGGATCATATGGCAGAAATTCTTCTGGGATGTCTGAAAATCTCTGCTGTCCTCTTCCTCTTCCATGATATTTCTTGCCTGATTTCTCCTGACCAGAGGACATAAACTGGTATGTGATGTCTCCCCTTTCAGTTACTCACCCAACATCAAGGAGATAAAGGTCGTCAAGCACAGGAAGGTTCGGAGGGCGAGGCTGTACTACTTGCGGGACAAGCTCCCCAGGCTTTCAACCTTCAACTGAGTCGTCTTCTGCTGAGCATCTTCGTTCCTCGAAAGAACTCTCTTCCTTTTTTTTTTTTTGGTGCCCGTTCTTCTTGTATCATCTCCATATATGGTGCTTCCTGCTACCAGAGAACAGCACCCTTTTTATGCTTGCCCTTTTGTATCTTCCCCTGGAATGAAAGTATCTGAGATTGAAGGAGATTCAACGTGGTTTACACATCCCCATTGGAGGAGATACAGAAGCTGTGCATGAAGGCAGCTCCGAATTGTTCGTCATCCAGAGTTGTGCCTGTCATCCATTGCCAGTTCCTGAGCAGGAGGAGGAGAAGAGACTGAGGTTGAATGGTTAGTAGGGCCTAACCATGCGTGGGCTTTGTATCTTAAATTACCTGGTTAATCAGTAAGTGCAGGTTATTGAAGGGGATGCTTCTATTTTCGGAAACAAGGGCGCAGTTCTCTAGCCAGGATGAACCAGAGATCTTTGTTCAGGTTTTCTCAGTATATCCCTGCATGAGCCGAGACTGGGCTTCATAAAGATCTGTCCAGAACACCATCCTCTTAGAATTTAGAATCAACCCTCTTTAGATGATGGAATCTGCTTCTGTCTGAGGAAAATTAGACACTTTTAGCTCGACTTATTTGCCAATTGTAGCAATATTGACGCAGCAGCAGTTTAATTACTTGTTAGAACTGGAATAGTCTGGAATAATTATTCGAGGAGTTTCGCTGAGATATTTTTTACCCCTCTCCCCCTCTCTCCCCCTCTCTCCCCCTCTCTCTCCCTCTCTCTCTCTCTCTCTCACACACACACACACACTCCCTCTCTCTCTCTCCCTCCCTCTTTCTCTCTCTCTCTCTCTCTCACACACACACACGCACAAACACTCCCTCTCTCTCTCCCTCTCTCTCTCTCTCTCCCTCTCTCTCTCTCTCTCCCTCCCTCTCTCCCTCTCTCCCTCTCTCTCTCTCTCTCACTCCCTCTCTCTCCCTCACTCTCTCTCTCTGTCTCTCTCACTCCCTCTCTCTCCCTCCCTCTCTCCCTCTCTCCTCTCTCTCTCTCCCTCTCTCCTCTCTCTCCCTCTCTCTTCCTGTCTCTCTTTCCCTCTCTCCTCTCTCTCCTCTCTCTCCCTCCCTCTCTCTCTCTCTCCCTCTCTCTCTCTCCCTCCCTCCTCCTCACTCCCTCTCTCCCTCTCTCTCTTTCCCTCTTTCCCTCTCTCTCCCTCTCTCTAGCTCGCTCCTTGTCCCCATCTCTTTTGCGTGCGCCTTTACTGAGTCTCATTAGTTTACTCATTTGGGTGACGATTCTATCGGCCACTTGAATCCTCGTTGAAATGAGAGAGCATTGAAAACAAGATTATTATCAAGATTCATGAATTGCGGATAAGAAAGAAGATGTTCAGGTGAAGGAATTCATGTTCAGATCTGAAAAAGACGACTAATCTACAACAAGCTTCATGAATTTTGCTCGGATTCATACTCAAATTTGGCTGCACCGTTTGTTCTTCAAGGATGATGGCTCTCCAAAACAGGGCAGCTGTGCCCAACATCATAGCGGGTAATGGAGGCGATGGAGCTGAGCCCCTAGTAATAGTAGTAGTAGTAGTAGTAGTAGTAGTTAGGAGACCTTAATTAGAACTAAGTGCCTAATAAATGACATATATAGTAACACGACATTTTTGGTATAGTAATATATGAAGCAATGTAGCTCCCTAACCTTATGTTGGCTCAAAGGAAATAATAAATAACATGACCCCTTCTTAGATTAATTTTAATGTAACATTTTTTCTCATTCAAGTGGACATTTTTTTCCATATTTTTGTGTTTACAAAAAATTAAGTCAACAACCTTGAAGTCTTAATGGTTTACATATTACTTGAGAAACTCTATAATCTCTATATACATTTTTATTAACGTTTTTTTTTACCATTAATTATCCATAATGGTGTTACTTAGTTTATGAGCATGATTAACTCCATATACATCTCATCATTTGATGAGTATAAAACACTTAGGGACTCATAATATCGAAACTAACATAGTATTCTAGTTGCAAGACAGAAAGATTGAAACTTGTTCAAGAGTTCACACTTGAGAAACATAAAAAAATAAAGAACAGAATGTCCATGTGCTAAGTATTGCCAACTATGGAAATAATGACCACAATTTCCTAGTGTCAAAAAATGGAAAATAAGTATTGACTTTTCTACCATAATATTGAGTAGAATTTATGAACATCCACAATTTAAAATTAAATGTCAACCCTTAGGCCAAAAATGAAGAATTTTACATGATGACGGACACTTGGACAGTAGATGTTGACATTCATAGATTAAGGTCAACACCAAAAATATAAGGGTCAATGCTAGCAACCAAAGTGCTCACACATAAGCAAATTTGGAAAAGAGAGGACGGATGTTAAGAATTGTTGAGACTTGTGGCAGTCCCAAGAGTAAAGTATTCATACTCATAAACTCATTAAATTATTTATCTATAAACAATATTTGAAGATTTGAAATTATATGTATGACAATTTTAACCAAAATAGTTACCCCAAAAAGGTGTTAGAGTAGTTCCTCTCTATGGTGAGAACTAACCTTATAATTGAAGGGTAATTGAAAACTTGAAGTTATAAAAGAAATGATCAAAAAATATTTTAAATCTCTTGCAATAAATTTCTTGAGAGTTTAAATTCTCCATTACTATCTAAGCTAATCTTTCAAGCTTCAGTGACATTCTCCAACTTTTTTGGAGGTTTTCTTCAAGTGGACATACTTTGTCTTCTATTCATATGTGCATATATATTTATGTGTATGGCTCTTTGGGGTAAAACTATGATTAACATCTCAAGAATGTCAACTCTTAGTATGTTAATTATTTATACATTAGTCATTGTGTTTAACCCATGCAAATTTACAATATTTATAATTGAACTCTTGAAATGAATTTTAATATTAATGTTAAGTTCAAGTCATCCTCAAGGATAGCAAGATTAGAATATAATATTTTTCTAATTTTCTAACAAAAGAGATGATTCTGAACAAAAGAATAAAAAGGAAAGGATTGAGATAAGTGAATAAATCTTTTTTTATTATTATTGTTGGCCTCTTATGATAATTAATTTCATATATTTGGTTCTCTAGTCTTTTCAAATAAGATAAAGCAGGAATTTCGTTATGAGAAGATTAATTCATGAATACAAGATAGTAGATTACAAAATAGGATGTGGAATGGTGGGAAGAGTGATTATTAATAGATTAAACTCCATTGATTTAGAGAACGTTGTGAGATAATGGGAATAAAAATTCTAAAATAAAATTTAAAGTAATAAAAATCAAAACTGCCCTAATCATCACTCAAGGAGAAACTAAAAAGAAGTGTGCTTTTGAATGAAAAGAAATATTGGAATGAAGACTTATAAAATTTTAAATTAAATGGTCTCATGTTTCAAATAAGTCATAAGTGATCCTTTCTCATGTTTATCACCCAAGAGAAAAAGAAGAGAACACACTAAATTATAAATAAAAATCAAATTGGAATCACAAATGTAAATGCACAAAATGAAAGTTATCTCCATCTCTTATTTTTCACTGAAGATAATGAGAAGGATAAAATACTAAATTAAGCAAAAATAAGAAAAGAGCTCTTTCCATTCAACATTTGACACTGAGAACATAAAAGAGATAAAGAAAACCAATGTTTAAGAGAATAGTTGATGATCATTGCAAATCGCTTTGAAAACTAATCTCGATCCCTATTCCTCCATGTGTTTTGTCTCCTACTCCATCTTTTGTGCTGCTTTCCACACTCCATACTCATGATTTTAGCTTGCTGATGTCATGGTTGTCTTCTAGTCCATAACTGCTTCTTATTATTAGTAGATCTTCCTTCTTTTTCTCCATACCCTCTTTTGACTCTTCATTGTGGGCTTTTAATGACTTTCCTTCTTGGGTTTTGATGCATATTCTTGTTTCTGAAATTCAATAATCCTTCTCAAGACTTTTAAGCCTTATAAAATAATATAAAAAATTAATAAGTTATTATAAAAATTAAAATTCAACAAAATTCATAGTTTTTCTCTTTAGTGTTTTCATGCTCTCATTTTAGCACCCAAATCAACACAGGGCTCAGGCCATGTGTCAAATATAACTTGCTAGAAAATTCCAAAAAGATTACCAACATTGCCAAAAATATATTAAAATCTTCCACATCATAGTATGACTAAATATATGATAATTTTTAAAAACTATGCACCATTCACTTTGATATTACCTTAGTTGTCACATAAAGATATTTCATTATCATTCATGAACAACTAGATGAAAAGCCAAATCAAAGAATCTTTGGAGAGTGTGTCTATTGCATTTCAGTGGATCTTTCCACCCAACTTAGCTAACTTTTTTCAACTATAATCATCAATTATTTCAACGATATCATTCTTCATCAATCATTTAATTACACTTAAACTTGATTATAATCCTCCCCAAGCTAATCATGTGGAAAACTAATTATTTTCAAATAATGTAATAAGTTAATTTATTTTTTATCTAAATAGAAACAGATTCTTTGAAAAAGATATGAGACAATATGGGAACATGTTATAAAAATCATACTAAGAAACCCAACACCAACTAAAATGTTAGGGGTGAAATTCGGGTTTATTATGAGTACGCCATTCTCCTAGATTCCTCCACTCAAGGGGTTATAGGGTCTTACGTGGCACTCCTATTGACTTAGCGCGTGCTTGACGTTACAAAGTTTTTACATACTTTTATTTTGAGTATTATTTTTCCTTATTTTTCGGGATGGACATGTGGGCCCCCCTTACCACCGTTGGTCGTAAATTCCTCAAAAGTCTCCGTATAGTCGACGTCGGCGTTCGAAAAAGAGCGCGGGAAAGCCTCACGTGCGAGGCTCGAAATCCACACGGGGAAATAATTTTCGCGCCCTCCCAGCCCCATTCCTACACAGACCTCTCTCTCTTTCTCTCTCTCTGTAGCCAGATGCTTCTCGTTTTCGGATCTGTTGGATCGCTTCGAACCCTAAATTCTTATCTCCTCCGTGGAATCTACTCCCCGCAGGGTGGCCAATCTAGGTCTTGTTGACGGAAGTCTTGCTGCGATGGCGGAGTAGTCAGTCCCTCAGCTCTGGGGCACGGATCTGTGGTGGGCGTCTCCAGTAGCCAATCACATTGAGAGGCTGCCATGGTTACCGACCTCGTGATTGCTGCGCGGTCGGCGGGTGTGGAGAGGGAGATGGAGATCGAGGCAGCGTGGTATGTTCTAACGATTTTGCTCAGGATGGGCCATCCGGCGAGAATGGATGAGATTGTTCCCAAGTGTAGGTTGTTCCCGGCCTCCGATGAGTTCTTGCAGTTTCTGTGCCGGATGCCGAATTCCCCCTTGTTCCTCGCAGACGGTGGGTTTGTCACCGTCTCAAGTGTGGTGGAGGTAGCGTTCAGGGAGTTCGTCGTCGGGGGTGCCTCACAGTTCGTGCCGAGAGTCACCGTTCGATTCGCGGGGCCGAAGAAGGCATGGGATTTCGGGGATGTTTACTTCAGGTGTTCGAGTCGGAAGAGGAAGAAAATGCATCAGTCGCCGGATCCCAAAAGGAAGGCTCCGCTGCGACATTCAAATGGTAATAGACCTTCCTGTATGATCTCTCATGGATCGCCCATAGTTTCCTTGTTCATTTCTTCTCCTTTGATTGGTGTAACTGGTCCTTCTTCTAACGTAGGTGGATCGGCAGAAGATGGGCCTACCAGCTATCTTTTGCCCATCGAAAATATCATCCAGTCCCCTTTGACAGACAAGGTACCGCTTGAACCGAATAAGCTTTCGTATTTTGTGGTAATGCAAACCAAGGAAGAAAAGAGTGTAAAGCCTGGTTATGTGTACACAATTATGGCTATTAGAAGAACCAAGAAATGGTGCTCTCTAGTTTGATGCTTCTTGTTTGAGTCTGTGTATCGCTTATTTTAGGGACATTCCAGGGATAAAATTACGTTTTTTCATGAATGTGCGGATTGACTTTAAAATTTATCCGAGGTTTTGAGTCACTTGTCACTAATTCTTCTTGATAATAATGCAAATTAGAGGCATTCACGTACGAAGGTAACACTTTGAAGGCCATCAGATCATCTACGGGGGAGTCCAGAATCCTGACATTTTGGACTTAGCTGAAGTTGGATTGATATTTCTCACTTTCCTTTTTTAAAGTCAACTGTCCAGTCCTCTTTTTCTCATTGTATGTCAACTTTTGCAGGCGCATCCTGCAGTTCCTGCTTTAATGAGGAGAAATAATTTATCAATGGACATGATTGTCACGGAATGTTCATCAGGAGTCGTTAAAGAAGGGATGCAATGGACGCCACTTCTCAACTGTGACGTTGACCTGTGGCACGATAGCACTAGGAACTGTGAGAAGATAGATCGTATAGATGTAAATTATTTAGAACCAAGTGTTTCTTCAAAAGAATGTGACAGAGTATTAGATAGTGAAATAAAAGCATATGCAGCTGTATCAGTAGCCGCAGTTAATGATAATTTTGTTGCGATGACACCATGCTCAATGGTTCAAGATGAAGTTAATTCACGGCCTTCAGCACTACTGAGGAACCGTAAAGAGCAAAACAGTGAGAAAGTTATTAATTACGGCGACATTGCAGAAGGGCTAGTTGTTGCTGATTCGGAGGACAACCTAGATCAAGCTCAAGCTGAAGGGGCTGTCGGATCTTCTAGAGTTCTTCTTGACATCCGTATGCCTCCAGGTAACATTCTTGTTGAGTAGAATTAATCTTAGACGAATGTTGATTTAAATATCAGTGCTGAAATAACGGAATCTTCTGAACTGACCAAACAGTCGTAAAACTAGAAGCAGCCACAACTTCATTGCAATGTGAGTCTTCCAGTTCCCAGAAGCCGGAGGAAATTTTTTCGGACAGACGGTTGGATACCAACCCCAGTGTAGGATTGCTGAATGATGCTGAAATAGAAGATGACAAAATCAACAAGAACAAACGGGCAGAAGCTTTGGACAGCAAGCAGATCTTGAAAAAGCTAAAGAGGACACAGCATAACAAAATACAAAAGAAAGGAAACAGGAATGGAGTTTCCATTGTTCCCAAGGTATATTTGAAGAGCCTAGTTCAGGATTTAGTATTTATTTGTTTAATTGCATTATCTGCTAGAATTATCTTTTTTATGCTTATACAAACTTGTTCTGTCCTCTCTCTGCAGAAGCAAGTGGAATCTTCTAAAAAATTTCCAAATTTTGAGTCATTTGTTGTGGAGGAAGAAGAAGGTTCAGGTATGCATAAACCACTGTGGCTGTATTTCTCATAAGTTCCGTTCGTGCTCAACCTTTTCAAAAATATATTTCTGTGCAACATGAGCAGGTGGGTACGGTACTGTTTACAGGGCTCGAAGAAAGAATGATGGAAAAACATTTGCTGTCAAGTGTAAGTGAGGCAAACTTGATCCATTGTGATGTTATGCTGCTGTCTTTCTTATTTGAATGTCAGGATGCCTACCTCGTGTAATGTTCATTGTTTACACGGTGCATCTGGCATTAGTAGATATTTTGTTCTGATGTTGGAGTTCCTGGAATGCTTTGAGGTTGTTTTGTTATTTCATAATATTTGGCATTAGTAAATAATTCCCTGCATTTGTTGTAGATTTGATTTTCTTTGTAGTGCCCGAAAGATTAGATCTTGACGGATTATTACAAAAGGGTGGGTGCGTTTCCCGTCCATGTAGACTTCCAAAGCCATGTGAAACGTTGCCACATGATCTGGGAAAGAAAAGTTAGTCAGTTTAGTTCTGGAGGATGCTTTCATGATTTTAACTAAAAGTGATGCATTTCTTAATCTATTCCAAGGTAGACAATAAAGTTTCCAGTGACTTCTTTGCATGCTACCCTCACCTGTTGAATGTGGTCTTTTTCAAATCTCTTTAGTAGTTATATTTATTTTGCTAAATTTGCACAACTCAGGCTGTCGGTAGAGAGTTCATATCATTGCTGCTTCATATTTAGTTTAAAAACACCTAGGAGGTCCGTGTCTTCCAAAAACCTGATCCCTTAAGGTTCATTCTGGAAAATGTTATTTAAGCAATCTATGGAAATTAAATTATGAACTAGTTTACTTCAGGAATTTTAGAAAATGAATTATATGTCTAGATTTCTCCTAAATCTAGAGTAATATGTTGCCTTCTAAAATAGTGAGGTTATGATCATCTTCTTCTCAAAATTTTTATTTCCAGTCCCTCATCCCAGAGCTCACCCGTACCACATTCACAATGAATTGAAGATGCTGGAAAGATTTGGGTAAGAGATCCGCTGGTTATATTTCTGTATCTTCTTAGTAATGAGGTATTTCTTAGCATGATAGCTGGCTTATGATGGCAGAGGGAGGTGCTTTATTATTAAGTACGAAGGATTCTTCAAAAGCGGCAACTCCGAATGTTTCGTCTTAGAGCATGTCGAGCATGACAGACCAGAGGTAAGCAGAGAAAATCTTCACTATTAGAAAATGGTTGCTACCTGGCCAACCGTCTTCTTTCGTTGCTGAATGCAGGTTCTTAAAAAGGAAATAGAGGTCTCTGAGCTCCAGTGGTATGGGTACTGCATGTTCAGAGCCCTAGCAAGCTTGCATAAGCAGGTTGAAATCTTTCGTTTAACGTCACTAGTTCTGCTTAGATGTCAGCTTCTCACTATTTCTCCTTCTTTCGCTTCTCTCTCTCTCTCTCTCTATCTCTCTCTCTTTCCAGGGAATAGTGCATAGAGATGTTAAGCCTGGGAATTTCCTATTTTCCCGTAAACATAACAAGGGGTATCTCATCGATTTCAACCTGGCATTGGTGCGTTTCGTTATACTCTTCGTGTTTAACCAGCTCCGGATTTTAGGGAATTGTTCTTTCGAAAATCTCACCATACCTTCGTGGCTCCTCCTCAGGATCTGAATCACAAGCATCAGACAAGCTGTGAGTCAACTACTTCCCTCTGCCAATTTTTATCTGAATTCATGAATACAAAGAGTTATTCTTTATAATGAGCCAGGGCTACATAGTTTGACTATTTCTCCTACATAGAATTTTGGTTCTCTTGATGGGTGTGCTTCCCTCATGCGTTGGATGGAGTGTGGCAGATGCTGTTTCAGAGAATCTTCCCTTTCGGACTTTGTTTTCTTGGTTGATTAATTATTGGGAAATCACGAATAGGATCCTGCCCATAATTCCGTCATCCAGTGGCGATTCAGATTTTGTCCAGAGCTTGAAATAGGATGGACTGAAGAAGAACATACAAGTGATAGAAGATTTGGAAGATGAACTTCCACTCTCTAGTCTTATTATATTTGATGAGGACGCATCCTGATATCATATGAGACACCAAGAATAGACCAGAAAAACTGAAAAAAAAGAAAGAAAGAAAGTAGAAATCGATTAAACCACCCTCCATCATATTCTTTTTTTTTTTTTTTTTTCCCACCCAGCAGATTTTTGCTTCCGTCAGATGGGGCTTTATTACTTAGGTTAACATCCATATTCTGAGCTCAGTGGGTGGATGTTCTTTCGTCCAAGGACTTTCCCTGGACTCGATGAGCGTGAAGGAAGATCAGGGAGGAAAATACGGTATCTTATCTATCGAGAGGCATGCACTGAGTTCGGTTTTAGGGCTGATCCTCTGTGTTCTTGAGATTTGAGTATAATTAAAAGACGATTGACATTGTTTTCCTGCACAAGTTTTTAGGATCTGCTCCTCTATAACCTGCTCCCCTTCCATGGGTTCATAATTTCTCTTCGCATTCTAGACGGCAATGAACATTTACCTTCTTCAATCCCCTTTCAACATCTCTCTCTCTCTCTCTCTCTCTCTCTCTCCTCATGGAATGATGGATGGTTCTTACTCCTAACATCTCCCATAAGAGACTTTGGGATCCTTTTTTCTGGCCCATTTTCCTTTCTTGAATCCTCGATCACACCCGTTTTTCTCCATCATATCGGCACAGAAAACGAGCGTTTTCTAGAGAGAGAATGTCATACGTGATGCTTAATATTTGCTAGTTCACGGGCTTTCTCTCTCTAAAAAACGCCATGTTCATCATGGATCTTTCTCCTCAGCCAAGTGCTATTCAAATCTGCGACGAAGCTCCGATGAGACAGCCGCCCATCCATGCTCCAACAAGACTGCTGGGTCTTCCTCGAAGATCAAGAAATCCGCCGCCGGCGGCGATGCCCGTAAGAAGACGCCGGCGGCGGCGGCGGCGTACAGCGGCCAGGTGGCGGAGGGCTCCGGCGTGACGTCTGCGAGGGAAGCGACCAGCACGAGGACCCCCTCGGTGGACAGGTTGAGGGAGCCGATTCCCTGCCGGGGGAGGAAGGAGCTGATCAGCCTGGTGCAAGAGGCGATGCAGAGCCCCGCGAAGAGCTCCATGGCGGTCCTCCCCGCTCAGAGGAAGAGGATCGCCGCTCCTCTGGGCAAGGCGGAGAGGCATCTAGGGTTTCTTACCCCCATGCCGCTCTTCTCCAACGGGATCCCCGTCGTCTCTGCCCTGGGGAACTGCTCCAATGACAGAGGTCGGTGGAGAATCGACAGGACCTTCCTTCGTTCCCTGGTTTCTCTCTCTAACAGGCGCCGTTTCCCGTCCTCTGCAGAGAAGAGACGCAAGACGGAAGGTCCTTGCGTCGGCACGAAGGGCTTCAGAGCACCAGAGGTCAGTCAGTCGAATCCTCTCGCATTGTCTCTAGATTCTCTCTCTATATTCGCTTCTTCATCCGATGCGATCGGTGTGGTAGTACAGGTTCTGTTCAAGTCGATCCATCAGAGCTGCAAGGTCGACGTGTGGTCTGCCGGCGTCACCCTGCTCTACCTGATGATCGGAAGAACGCCCTTCGCCGGAGATCCCGAGCAGTAAGTCGTCGACCTTCCATTCCATTCCATCTCGCCGGAGAAATTCCGCCGCCGACCTCTCTCACTCCTCTTCCCCCGCCCCTCCAGGAACATCAAGGAGATCGCGAAGCTCAGAGGCAGCGAAGATCTCTGGGAGGTCGCCAAGCTCCACAACCGCGAGTCCTCATTCCCGATGGTAAAAAAACCTGCGACAGAGAGAGAGAAGGATATATATATATATAGATAGAGAGAGAGAGAGAGAGAGAGAGATTGATGAGGATCTGGGTGGTTGGTTGCAGGAGCTGTTCGAGGTGGAGTGGATGAGGAAGATGAAGCTGGGGGAGTGGTGCGAGAGGAACACGAAGAGGCCGGAGTTTCTGGAAATAATCCCAGGGGAGATGTGGGATCTGGTGGAGAGGTGCCTGACGGTTAACCCTAGGCTGCGGATCAGCGCGGAGGAGGCTCTGCAGCACGAGTTCTTCGCCCCCTGCAGAGACGTCCTCCGGAAGCAGAGGCTGCTCCGGCAGAGCTCCGGCCACCGCTCCCTGTGAGAGGAGGAAGATGCCGTCTTCCCCTCAGTCTGTCCCCGTACGTACGTATATACAGCCCCCTGGTTCACCATCCTCTCTCTCTCTCTCTCTCTCTCTCCCTCTTCTGTAAATTCCCCTTCTCTCTCCTCTCTCTCTGTCCGTGACGAGAAAAGGAGCTTCCTATAGGGCCCAATATCAGAAAATTAATGGGCTTTGGGATTTTATTCAATCAACATTATAGCCGGATTTTGTAAAAAATTGGTCAAATTTTCCACGTGGAAAATGTAGAGTCATAGTTTCAACGTGGCATAGTCCTATTGGTCGGAAGGCAGAGAACTGGAGGATGATCGTGGCTGTCCGATCGTCTGATCTGGCGAGATCGACGGGGCACGATTGAGAGTCGATGTCATCATCTGGAGTCTTCCCGAATCATCAAAGGGGTCTTTTCGTAAATATCTCTCCCGACGAAGCAACGGCGAAGGCTCCATCGCTTGCAGGTCAAGGCCAGATATAAACCAAACCCACCGGTGTGTCTCATTCCCGTACATTTTCGAAAATCTCTTCTTGTTCCGAATCTGTCTGGTCTTCTTCCTGTTCCCCGGTGGACGTTGAGAGCAGGAGATGGATTCGTTCTTCCAGTCTCGGGCATTCGGGGCCAGAAGTTGGAGCTACGAGTCTCTGAAGAACTTCGCCCCCATCGACGCCGTCGTCCAGAACCACCTCAAGAGTGTAAGGCCCCACTTTCTCCCCCTCTTAATCTGGTGAAACTGGCGGCATTGTCGAAGGAGGATTGGTTGCTTTCGTGTCGATCTCATCCCATTCCGTGGTTTTCTTTTTTTTGCTGAGCCTGGGGGAGGCGGATCTCTGGCTTTCGACGCTTGATTTGTCGCGAAAAGTGGTGAGGAAATACGGGTTCGATTTTTTAGTTCGAATTTTCTTGGCGTAAAGGGTCATCCTACCGGTTGCATGAGGCCCGTGATTGCGTTGATTCTATTCTATTTTAACCCAGTCTTCTCGATAAGGTCGTATGAACTTTTTGCTGAAGTTTTCCTTCCGTAACCGCTGATATTTATTCGGTACGGGTGATTTCCGAATATCTTTTTTCTGATCAGCTCAGGGATTATCCAGTTGTATGTTTAAACGCTTATCCTTTTACAGGTCTTCTTGTCCTTCTTTATCTACTTCTTTTCACCCTTTTATCTTGACTATGGTGTTGCCTTCTGTGACTCCTTAATCCATTCATGTCTGAAATAATTCCATGTGGTTTCTATAAACACTTTTTCGCACTCAGTGGTCGATCGCATATCTTAGCGGGAAAGAGAACTTGATTCCTTTTATATACTTAAAGACAATCGGTGGAAATGGCAGGTTTATCTGACGCTGTGTCTCGCCGTGGTGTCCTCTGCTGCGGGAGCTTATCTGCATATCCTGAGTAACATTGGTGGAACATTGACCACACTCGGGTGCATGCTCTGTGTCGCCTGGTTAGTGGCCACTCCTGCGTATGAAGAGGTAGTGCCCCATCCTTGCCTGTCCTTGACAGTGGCTTTTGCCTCTTCTTCTTACCTGATGTGAGTCTATGTTGCCCCTTTCAACAGAGGAAGAGATTTGGCCTTCTCTTGGCATCTTCTCTTCTCCAAGGAGCTACGTTGGGTCCAATCATTCAGCTTGCCATTGACTTTGATCCAAGGCATGGATTAACTCACCTCATCTATAATTTTAATGCTATGCGTTTTATTCTGTTGTGGTTTTTTGCCAGTTCAGTGCTGTTTATTTAGGCAGAAGAAAAGGAGACATATGTTCCTAATTCTGAATCTGCTTCCGTATCTATTAGCACGATAATTTTTTTTTCCTTAATTGATAGAATCGCTAGCATATCTTGGCCACTGATAAAGAGCCATCAGCTTTTCTCCCCTTTGCCATTTTCCTTCTGATATCGCTTCAGTCTCCATTTGTCATCCTGCGCCCTGCCTACTTTGTGCATTTTCTGTGATGCCTTTATGTCGTCCTTCTTGCCATTCCATCTTCCTTCCCCAGCCCCCTCCTACACCACATCTAGGAAGTAGGTACTTTGTGGGCCATGGTAAGATATTTTTGTCTATACGCTTCCTTCTTTAGTCAGAGATGTAGAAATCCAAAGAAATCGTCACAGTGAAACTTGTGCAGAGGTTTATAGGTTCTTCATTTGTTTTTAATAAAAGAATGCCCGGGACTTACACACCTGACTGATCATTTGAATCAGTCAATACCTGATGACCATCAGGGGTGCCTTCATTAGAGCTCTTGCTTGCAGAGCTTCCGATTATTTGAAGAACAGCACCTCATCACGCCATTTCTGCTTTGCATACTGATTCTTAACAGTTTATTTAAGAAGTCCAGTTAATTTCTGATAATTTGTAGTGTCTGCATTAATATTAATGTTATTCTTCAAGTGGGTAATGTCCATGCAAATTGAGTATAGATTGGCCGTTGAGGAATTTCCATCAAGAAGGAAATAATCATATGAACACATATTAAACTGGATCACATTTTCCCTTCGGAACATGCAGAATTCTCGTGACTGCACTTGTGGGAACCGCGGTAGTGTTTGTCTGCTTCTCAGCGGCCGCACTGGTGGCCAAGCGCCGCCAATTCCTATTCCTGGGCGGCCTGCTCAGCTCTGGTCTATCTCTCCTCCTCTGGCTGCACTTTGCTTCGTCGATCTTTGGTGGCTCCACCGCCATGTTCAACACCGAGGTACCCAATTTCACACCCCCCACTACCCGATAGTTCAGAGCTCGTAGCCCCAACAGCATCTCCTTCATCTCTCATTCAATCTGCGTGAATCCTCCTCATCTGGTTCTGCTTGCTGTACTTGCAGATATACCTCGGCCTACTGGTCTTCCTTGGGTATGTTCTGTTCGACACTCAGCTGATCATTGAGAGAGCCCGCTCTGGTTCCTTTGACCGTGTGGGGGATGCACTGCATATGTACACCAATCTGGTCGCTGTCTTTATCCGGGTCCTCATCATCATGGTAAGATTCATCAGATATGTACCTAGCTCCTAGCTAGCTAGAGAGAGAGAGAGAGAGAGAGAGAGAGAGAGAGAGAGAGAGATCGTCCTTGGCGCCTGGGGACTGAATTTGTTTTCTTTGTGTGGGTTTGTCAGTTGAAGAACGGAGCTGAGAAGGAGAAGAAGAAGAAGAAGAGGTCGCAGGCTTCCTGAGTTGGGTAAGAGTCGCTTTGAAAGTTTCCTTGTATGGTTCGTAGTTCATAGTTTCAGCAGCTTAGGCAAGCTGTGTATGCCTAACTGCATGTAAACCCCCCCCCCTCATAACGTTACTATTTCATAAAGGTGTAACTTGGACCCGTATTTTCATGTACAAAGGAGAGTATGGTGGTGGCGGTGGCTAAGTTATCTGCGTCTGGGTCCCCTCTGGAATAGAAATAGACCGAGCGTATTTTGATATGGTCCTTGTTTTAGAGGTCCAAGTTTAGAAAATATGGGCTGGGTTTCGGGCTTAAGTGGCCGAATAATTAACCAAAGCTGCAACAGGAAAATAAGTACTGTTGCTAAAAAATAAATAATATTAAACCTTGCATCTTTGAGTTGTTAAACATTTTTTAAAAAAAACATCAATAAAAAGTAGCATGTAAACATAACGGGTGGGGGAAACGTATTTGTGTTCATCTTTCCCTACGTTCTACGTTCCTCTCTATCTCTCTCTCTCTCTCTCTCTCTCTCTCTATCTCATCTCATCTAAGAGGTACGCTTCTACCTTCAAATATATGTTACCACAAAATGGAAATAATTATAATATATATTAACAAAAAATGGAAAGAATGATAAGTTTTTGTATTAGCACAAAAAAAAAGTGTAAATGTATAAGAACCTAATGATATTTTTTGATGCATATAGATTTCATAATGTGGAAATAATGTATGTGGGGGAAAAATTAAGAAATACATGATCTTGACAAATGTTCAAAATAATTTTGGTCTGTGGGAAAATATTACAAAAAAAATGTGAGTAAATTTCAATCATCTTTTAAATTATATTTATTATATCTTATCAACTAATAGTAATAGAAATTTACTCACATTTTATTTTAACAAGGGGTGTCTTTGCCTTTATAGAAAAACTAACAAAAGTATCTCTGCCAAGGCCAAAGTTTTTGGATGATTTTTAAAAAATTGTTCACTATTATTTAGAAGAATGAAGTTGCACAAACTTATAGCAACAAAGTGAGAAGATTAAAGATTTACCCTTAAAACCAGTAGTTTGGAGGGACTTATATCTACTTGGCTCAAAATATGAAATGATATGAAAGAAAAGGGTGAGTCTCACCTCTCTCATATTCTCTAGGCAAGGATGAGAAGGGAGCCCACAACTTTCAAGCAACCATAGGTGCCAAGGAAGGAAGTCATATGGCAATGATATTTTAGGTTGTACTATGTCAATGTCCATTCTTGATTGTGATGACTCCACACCAATAACATAAACAATGTGTGAGACATTTGTGACATGCATGGCAGCCACGACATAAATGAACATTAGGAAAGAATAAGGTGTTTGACATTTAATCACTTTCTACTCATTATAATAGAACAAAACGTCAAGACGTGCACCAAAATTTTTGCAAAGGAATAGAGCATTATAGTAGATGTCCACATTCATATCATAAGAGTATACTATGTCAGAGAAGAAGTCAATAGTTCCACCAAACATCAAGAGAGTCAAGTGTAATATATTGACATCTTGGGGGGTTATGTGTCACTATAAAAGGGGCATATTTAATCAGCTGTAGGCAGGTCATTCCCTCATTTTGCATTATCACATTTGTAAAAACTTTTTATTATTTTAGTTTAAACTTCATTTGGTAAGATCAGTCAGGTGTTACAAGGGATGACCAAAATTAGTTGCATACATAGATAGTGCTTAATTAAAGAGTGCCTAGGTGACAACTTGAGACTGATCTTGGATGTCATTATATTATGGAAGACAATAAATCTTATTTCACAAATATAGCATGGTTGAAGTATTAGATTACCTAAACTCAAAGAGTATGCAAGAGCTCATAATGGTCATTAAATCTAGAATTCCCTTTAGAATCAACCAATATTTTAGGGTATGTCATACTATCAAAGATGATGATTTCATTCTTATTAGCATTTACTCTCTCTCTAGATGTCAATCCCTAATAGAAGACCTAAACGATAAATTGGACCAAAGCACTTATCACTATTTGGAATTAGTTGGAGTAGTAGTTTCTTCTAGAAATCATCACTCTGATGGCTCCATCACACCAACACAATGAAAAAGTACATCAAGTGGTCTGCTTCACTATTTTTTTATATAAACAACATATCTAAGGTGAGTAAATTATTTAACTTTATGACTGGTCTTTAAAATTAGGCATAGACAAAGCTACATGACCTAGGAGCTTAGAGATATAGTTAGCAATAATAATAATAACCGTGTAAAAGTAAACTACAAGATCAACTCTATTGAGATTGAAGACATAAGTAAATGGTGGGAGGATGATAAGTAGGGTTACCAAGGTGACAATGATTGTAATTAGGGGTGCAACCATAGGGAGGCACTAAGAAGGACCAAGGTGGTCCCAAGATGGAGGTGACACGAGGAGAGAAGGAAACACCCTTTGATTTTTCCAAGGATAGATGTTCCATTGGGCAAGAGAATGTTTAATGTGTGAGGACAAGAATAGAGTCAAATGGACATTATTTACCTTGACAATGTATAAAGTACTAGTCGTGGCAATAAATATTCCTAACCTAAACCCTCTCTAATTATTGGGTGTATTGTATTAATACATGGTGTGAGTCATACTAGATGGACAATGACTCATATCTTTGAACCCTACTATCAAAAGTAAACCCACTTCTACCATTGTGGATACTAAGGATATTCCTAACTCCCTATGAGAAAGAGGTTGCTTGTTGTAACTAATACTATCATGGGGTGACAATCATACTAAGGCCATTAACTCCGAGATATGCCTTGACTGGTGCTACGTGTGAGATCTTAGTGCAAGTTGAAGGAGTGGAGGGAACTCATAAATGATTTTGAAGCCATCTAGCAGATGGAACTCATCACACAAACATAAATAGGTATTGTTATTATAGTAAGGACAAAACCATTATGTGTTGCAAAAGTTAGGAGAATATTGGCTACCTAAGAACCAAAATTATTGTTTATCTTGGAATTGTCGCTGGGGCTCATCCACCCTTTCAAGAGTCATTATGGAGCTCTCTTCCTCTTTAAGGTGAATGTCATATATCTTAAGTTGTGTCAATTATCAAATACTTAAAAACATGAAAAGTAAATAGATATTTAATGTCTAATAGAGAGGAGATATTGAATGAATTGAAAAAGTAATATCTTGTTTGTAAGAACCTATGTCTATTTACGTATGATTTGTCATCAAGATAAGATAGTGTTAAGATAAGATGCACTTTAGACCAATTACCACTTCTAAGTCAGAACATATTTTAATAGACTTTAAAGTGAATTTGTCAAGAACAAATGATCAATGATTTAATCTTTGTTGTCATTGACCATTTCTTAAAATATGTAGTGACCACATGAAAAGTAATATAGAAGATGTGGCATGTCTCTTCATGGTGAACAAAAGTCAAGTTGTAGAGACACTCAAGAGACTTCACCAATGCTTGAGACATTGGATTCATGAGTCAGTATTAAATGACATTTTTTTTTAAAGTTAGGTACACAACTCAAATTCTAGATAATACTTTAATCAAAATTTGGTATACAACTCAAGCTCTTCATGAGGCAATTTTATACAATTGGTTAGACGAAGTATAATAACAAGATGCTGAAAAAAAAAACTATGTCATTATGTGTCGACAAACAAGGATAATTGAGTAGATCTTCTAAATTTGCCCTAGTTATGTTCTATTTGTGCTAGAGTTTGGCAATGGGTTATTCACTAGGGTTGATTAAAAAAGAGAATATAGGCACAATTCAACAGCAAATATGTGTGGCAAGTACATGAAGAGTAGCTGAGTGAAGAAGTTTTTTAGTATAAGTGGTATAATATATGAATCATGATGTAAATCAACTATGACAAACAGTAAAATTTAGTATCATTGACTGAGTTTTGGAGGAAACGCGTTGATGGTTGATGCCATGTAGATAGCACATGGCTAAGGAGTGTGAAGGTGATGTTAAGTAAGAGAAAAATTGGGGTGATAAAAAACTAGCCTTAGCCCACTATAACTTTAAAGATCAAAAACTATGTATAAAATAATCTGTTCTTTTAAAAGGTTTGAATTTCCTGAAAAAAACACGGCAACTTGATGTCCTGGGCCGCCCAAGAATGTTAGGTGCAACTTCCCAAGAGAATCACCAGAACTTTCCTTCCCCAGAACGCACCCTCACCATCTCTCTCTCTCTCTCACTTACTCTCCATATATATCTGTTTATATATGTATTTATTACATCTCTAAATTCTCATCCGCATTCCTATCGAGGAAGGAAGGAACTCCGTCGTTGCATTCTGCTCGGCTGCCCTTCGTCATGAGCTGGCTGGACAGGATCTGGGTTGGATTCCGCAGCCGAGGGCCGGTAGCGGCAGCGGCGGCGGCGGTGGCGGCCCGGGGACCCGACGGCGACGCCCCCGCGCATGGCCAGCAGTTCGCTCAGTTCGCCGCTGGTTGCTTCTGGGGGGTGGAGCTCGCCTACCAGCGAGTCCCCGGGGTAACCCGAACTGAGGTGGGCTACAGCCAGGGGAAGACCCACGGGCCGGCATACGGCGACATCTGCTCAGGGACGACCGACCACGCAGAGGTGGTGCGCGTTCAATACGATCCTTCCCTGTGCAGCTATGAGTCCCTGCTCGCTGTGTTCTGGGCGCGGCACGATCCTACAACCCTCAACCGCCAGGTTCGATCTTCATCGTCTTCCTTCTCCTCTTCTCTGATTTTCCTTGCACAGCAAGTTGGGGGAGTGATGACGGCTCCTGACTTTCCCTCCGTTTCCACAAAATATTATATGATATGGAAGGATCCTAGTCTATGGAAGATCCTTTCCCAGTATTTGGGGGAGGAGGAAGCTTGCCCATGGAAGGGCATCAATGGAAACTGAATGAAACCTTCCAGATTTGGACTGCAGTTTTGCCTGAAAAGACCACCATCATGTCGCAACATCCAGAACCATCCCACTTTAGAGGAAAACAAAATCCAACAGTTTCATGAGATTTTTATCTATGATCAGTCAAGCCCATGCACTGGGTTTCTTCAATACAATCTTGTTGATTCTCTCACAATTGGTAGCACTTATAATTTTCAAGTGGGATGAAATAGTTTTGTATAAAATTTACGCAGAAAAAATATTTAATAATCTTCACTTCCCGTCCGTACTCCAACCAGTGATTCAAAATCTTATCTTCTCTGAAAAAAAATCACAGTTCTTTGAATGCCTTCCAGAACTGCGCACAGTTCCTTGAAGCGTGGAGAGAATCTATCATGGTTGGGGCCATTGTCAGTTTTCATGTTCAACGCTTGCGGCTAGGGCTTGGTTGCTCTGGGGTTGGGGAGGTTTGTGAGGTGGCCTGACACGAAAGACCATCACCACTGCATTAACAGTCGTGAAAGGTTGCCTCCATAGCTTTTTCGTCCCTTTAGGGCTCTTCTTCGGTGATCCAGAACATGGAATTACTTATTTGAGGAAGAAGACTGTATGAAATCTATCCACTTGTGCTTCCCCCTCTGGCCAGAAGCCAGTGTTTTGTCTCCATGGATTCACTATCTTCCTACCTCTCTGTTATGTTTTAGTTGACACCATTCCCATTGATCATGTCTGCCTACTTAAATCGGAAGCAGGCATCTCCATGCGTCTAAATACAGAGATAAGAATTCATGATTATTTTACATTTCTGCAAGCATTTTTTTTGTCTCCTTTATATTGTCTGCACTTGATTGTAGCTGAGGAGATCTTTGAAGATAATAAAACTACCAGCTTATCAACTCGTTTGTTCCCAGTCCTGATTCAGTCTCGAACATATGGCTCTCTCTCTCTCTCTCTCTCTCTCTCCCTCTCCTATTAGCAGCTTATCAGCGTTTCTGCTTCCTATTATCTGCACCTTTTCAATCTTAGAGAAGAAGAGGTTGGATGAGATTTTTCAGCCTAGGGTTCGCATTTTCTAGGAAAGAAAGGCTCAACTGCTCGGGGCATGAATGCTGGAGGACTAATGAGTGAGATCTGACCTGACTCTATTGAAAGAAGGCTTTTTTTGTGAATTCTTCATCTACCTCCCTCAAGAACGAAAACAGAATGCTTTATATTCGCTAAGATCAAATGAATGCTCATGGGATCTTCTACTGATGAAGGCTTCTATTCCTGAAATGTGGAGGTGGCTGATTGTCAGTACCAAGATGCAGAAGATATGATGGCATCTTCCATTCCAGCTATTTCCTGAAAGCTTGGCGAGCTTCAGTTTACAGGACCAATAGTTCCCCATATTTCTCCAGTAGAGAAAAAAGATGGGCATTTTTGGTTCGGCCATATGCGCATTTCTCCGAGTAGCTTCCTTGCCCACTCTTCGTGGGTTTTTCTGCCATGATTCCAGGCTGATGGCTCCATTTCTGCTTTTTCTTGACACCTTGTGAGCTTCAATTCACAGGACAGGACAGGACAGACAGTTCCGCGTATTTCTCCATATGGGAAAAGAATTGAGCTTTTTGACTTCAGCCCTATGCCCATTTTTCCAAGTAGCTGGTTCACCAGTCTTCCCTCCTGCTGTATATCTACTCTTCGAGATCGCAGCTTCTTCCGCTATTACATGGTTTTGAATTCAATCAAAATGGACATGAGAATCTCTCTCTCTCTCTCTCTCTCTCTCTCTCTCTTCTCTCTCTCTCTCGCTCGCTCGCTCATTCACTGCGTTTTGTTGAGCAGGGCAACGACGTGGGGAGCCAGTACCGCTCGGGGATATACTTCTACACGGAGGAGCAAGAGAGGGCAGCGCAGGAGTCCATGAAGGCGCGGCAGAGGACCCTGGAGAGGAAGATCGTCACGGAGATTTTGCCGGCGCGGAGGTTCTACCCGGCCGAAGAGCACCATCAGCGCTATCTCGAGAAGGGCGGTCGCTTCGGGGCCAAGCAGTCGGCCGCCAAGGGCTGCGCCGACCCCATACGCTGCTACGGCTAAGCAGCTTTACAAGGAAGAACACCCCTATCCTCCCCCCCCCCGCAGCCTTCTCAGCCTCCACACCCTTGTTGGAGGACATTGTGTATATGTATGTACATACGTACAACCAGATGGAATTCTTGCGATGGGTTTTGCTGATAGATCCTATTCTCTGATTATTACCCGTTCTTTTAGAGAGAGAGAGAGAGAGAGGGGCGTTTCTCTCTCCTCCCTCATAGTTACTATTTATATGGGAGTTATGCTAATCCCGGTCATGTACGCATTTACATAAATACAAACAGATGGGATTCTCGCCATGGGTTTTGCTGATGATCTTATTCTCTGATTACCACCCTCTATTTTAGAGAGAGAGAGAGGGGCGTTTCTCTCACTATAGGAATTATGCAAACGCCGGTCATGTATGTACGTACATACGTAAAACCAGTTGGGATTCTTGCAATGGATTGCTGATGATCTTCTCTGATTACCCTCTATTTTAGAGAGAGAGAGAGAGAGAGAGAGAGAGAGAGAGTTATCTCTCCTCCCTCATGGGCATGAGCTTATTGCGAAATCCATCATAATTCCCATCCCGAGTGAAGACTTGTGGGTGATCTCATACATTAAAGAGAGAAAGCACCTTGGAGGTCGTCTAAACGTGTGAAAAAGATTGTGGGTTTAGCCAAAATAGGAAGAAGATCAAGGCCGGGTCATAAATGGAAGAAACGAATCTCCCATGACCAAATCTTAGGCACCAATCTTCAACAGATGATACTGGAGGATGAGACGGCCTGGTCAACGAGGTTGCCACTTCTCAGATGAGAAGACAAAGTCACGCTGACTTCTCTCATGGCCTAGAATGGAAGGTCAACCCCACAAGCACAGATCTGATTGACTTTACGTTCAACACTGGCACAGAATTTCGTGGGCTCTCAAGGAAAATAAGTTTAGTAGGGCGAATTAATATGCCAACAATACCAAGTCAAAATTCAGGTTTCATACGGGGAAAGAGACGCAGGGTGCAAGGCGTTGACCATCACAACAGCTAGGAGGCTGTTTACTCGTAGATCCAAGGGTGGAGGCTGCTCTGCCAGTTCACAGGGCCATCTGGGAACCACAGGGCGATCTCCTTCCTCGCACTCTCGACAGAGTCGCTCCCATGAATGACATTCCTGCAGAGACAGAAGCTCATCAGATACTCCTGAAAGTAGACGTTGACCACACATTTCGTCATATGAGGATGCAACAAGGTTTTTCTCCAGGAAAATCAATAAATTGCTAAATCCGGTCAAGGACGTTGAGCTCGATCACAGGCCTGATTGTCAGACATGCAAAAAACATAAGAACGCTTTTTTTTTCCATTTTTCATCGGAGAAAAATTACTAGTGAAGAAAACTCTCTGATCTAGCCGGAGCTGGAGCGCATTCCAATTATCAGCCAACCCTTTAAGCTGGAAATCATGAGAAGGCATACAAGAGACGAGACAATCCTCGATTATCGTGCAAAAAACTGGTTCAAATCATTAAGATCAGATAGTTTATCCAAAGAGAAACATTGCGTTTCACTGTAATCAAAGACCATTAAGTATGAATGTTTCCTCATCTTCGACGAAAATGACAATGAAAGGAAATAATTAGCAACTTAATCTTCGGAATTCGGAGAAATGCTAACAGAGATGGGAGGATGGGATCAATTCTCAGTGGGAGTATCTCTCAAAGAGTCATATCAAGCAGGGAGCATGCCAACCCGAACGTAAGAGAACAAACACTTCATGAGAATTTACAGGAGAAAAAGAAGAGCAAGCATGGATCCTCACCTGCCGATCTCAACGGCGTAGTCGCCGCGGATGGTGCCCGGAGCGGAATCTGAGGGGTTGGTGGCCCCGATGATTTTGCGGCCGGTGACGACCACGTTCTTGCCTTCCCAGATCATGGCGACAACAGGACCAGAAATGATGTACTCGACGAGCCCATGGAAGAAGGGCTTAGCCGACAGGTCCTCGTAGTGCTTCTCGGCGAAGGACCTCTCCACGCTGATCAGCTTCAGTCCTGGTGAGGGCAAGGAGAGAAGAGAAACGAAGAGGAAACCGCAAATGATTTCTGCTTCCCCCTGAATCTAAACTCGTGAATCTAAACCAACCGGAGAGGAACACTCTGTTTACCTTTCAGAGAGAATCCCTTCTTCTCAAATCGGCTGATGATCTCACCCACCTGCACAGACCAGTCAATTTCAGATCCAACCAGGCCAGAAAACTACTCTAGTGCCGTCCACCGGCGTCACGTAGAATAAATCGAGCGACAACAACTGCGCCACCACGGATCTACAAACAAAGAAATTTAGAGGCCCGCAAGAGGCAGGATGTACCAGGCCACGCTGGACGCCGTCGGGCTTGATCATGATGAAGGTCTGCTCCATTGCTCCGGCGCCGCCTTTCCTCACTCACCACAGAACAGATGGAATCCCCGAGCCCTAATCGCTTAGCTCTACTTGCTCCGTTTTTATACAGGCCACGATGGGGGAAATGGCAGTTCCCCAATAGCGAGTCCCTTACCGGGGATCCGGCCCATTAACGAATTTTCGACATTCAAAGGACTGTCTCTGTCTTATCTCTCTATCCACACCTTGTTGTATTGCTTAGAGATGATAATTTTTTTACACTCTTCAATTGATGTGATAAGAAGTTTAAGCGAGAAAATAATATTTTTTTTTCTGAATTTACTGAAAATTATTTTTATTTTTATTAGTTTTAGTAGCTCAATGTGTTGACAATGCAGTTAAGCTTTGGATTTACATTGAATGATTCTCAAAAAAATGTTAATTATTCTCAATAAAATACATCGATGGCTAGTCCATTATACTTAGATGCTGGTAACAATCAGTCAACTGTTACCCTTGATTATATTTAGTAAGAATGCCCAATTGAATACTTGAATTTAGGTTGAAATTTGAAGAAGACCAAGTCAACCCCCTCTTAAATCCTTTTACAATCTCAAACAAACCAATATATCGTATAAAATAGGTTTTTCTATTTTATCATCTTTGTCTCATACATTGTGTTGTAGGTGTATTTGCTCAAGAATTGTAGAGTACTATTTCTTGACATAAATTCTATGAATTAAGATATGTGATTTTGCAAACTAAAATACATACTGAGAAATTCTTGTATGAAACTATGCAGTGGTTGACATATTGAATTAGTTATGTATCGTTGTTGGATTTGATATGTGTATTCTAAAACACAAATTTCATGCATGAGGATATTACATTATGTTATTTCACAATGTAAGGTTTCCTATATTTGAATGTGAATCAGAAAAGATAAAGTCTGATATGAATCACTAATATGAAGCTTTATATATTGTATCATTCTGAAATATAAATTTCATATTTCGGAGAATAAGGTTTGATATAAAATACTACTCTATAACATGAATTTGTTGTACAATAAAATATGGAGTTATATATACATTTGTATTTGCATACCCACTTATTTTCCCTTTTTATTTTATTTTCTTACAATCATAAGTTTTCATGGAGTTTTTATTTTTAAGTACACATTGTTCAAAAAAAAAATTATCAAATCAAGAATTGTGTGAATTTTTTTTGATAGTTAGTAACCACTTACGGAATAGATCTGTTGTAATCAAAATATTTGGCACTTATAAACTTTTGCCAACCTTGAAGACTTATTTAGTGTTCTAAGACTTAATCAAAGCCACATATCAACATGTGATATCAAAGTTTACATAAAAGAGATGACCACGATTTATTCTTAGTATTTCAAAAATAAATTTCATAATATATGTCACAATCTAGCGAATTTAAGAACCTCATAGAATTGAGAGCTCTTGTAATTTAAACAGACATAAATAGTGAAAGAAACATTTCAAAGTAGCTTATGTTAATAGCTTCAAAATCTTGTTAACTCTAGTTGAATTAAATTCATTAAAAGAGACATTATGAAAGATGACTATAGACATTGCTTATGCACACGTAATTCTACCATGGAAACCGTATGTTTTTTGAAATAAATACATGAAATATCATCTAATTATGAAATTTCACTTTTATGGTAAAGTGAAATCTGTTAATATATTACAAAATTATTTGTACCTTTGTTTTTTTTTTGGGTATAGACTTGCTACCTAGACATGTCAATTTGGCCTCATAATTAGATTTAGAGTCTATATCTCTATTTCACCTTAGAAAAAAGCTCAATAATTGAGCTAATTATCCTTTTACCCAGTGTTAGTTTTTTTTCAAACATCTAACAATGATATATAAGGATCAGCATGTTTAAAGAGGTGATCCAAGCGGTCACTTGTGACACTAATGAATTGAAGTATATTGTGAAAAAATTTAGTATCAAGTAATAATATATTTAAAGAGACAATCCAAAAGGCCAATATGTTGCTGAAACTATATCTTGAATACCCCTTTTCTTGAAAATTCTTTATTGAAGATATCAAGGATGACTCTTAAGATATTGTTGCTGAAACTACATCTTGAACTTAATATATTGTTTTTACTTATGATGTGTATTAATGATCAGATAAATACTCTTTTGATTCAACATATATAAGTCATGCTTGGTAAAAAATTATTCACATATAATGGAATGAAATAATTGTTACTATACATTGTGCCATCTCATACATTTGCACTCAGGTAAGTACAAATATTAAAGGTCATTAAATCCATGATACACTATTGATAAAAGATAGTAAGCATAAAATCTTCTGGACTTTGGGGACATATTCTTATTCCTAGAATAATTCAAAATTAGAAAATAATATTCTACAAGTCTATTGATGATGAAACATAATCTATCAAGAGATACAATATATGCCATATGAGGAGGGCATTCATTCATAATTATCCTCCTATATCAAACTCATATATCACGACTCTATAATAATTATTGTTAACTAATAGTAACTGTGTGTCTACTTTTGACAAATGTCAAAAGTCAACTAATTTGGTGCATCCCACTAGAGGATGCGTGTTTGGATAAAATCTTACAGCATTTATTCTAGATTCACCCAAAAGAAGACAAAGATTGAGTATGTATAAGGTTTTCTAATTGCTAATAAAGCAAAATCTTGATTAGAATCTCTGCTAGAAGCGATACACACAATGTTCCATGTGGCATGTCAAGGGATGGGATTTTTGCTTGACTTTTTTTTTCTTTCTTTCTCATAAAATTCTTCTTCCTTAAATCAACTTAAATCACACATAGTTCATTTTGTTGCATTTCATGAAAGAATATAATATAAACATTTCAAATGCCAAAATTTATTGTCAAGTAATAATATAATATTGATCTAGACAAGATGCGATGGATAGTGTTTTCACATGGGATGTCAAAGGATGTGATCTTTCTTAATTCGAGTGAAAAATATTATAAAATCCAGTAAATTATAATAATGAAAAAAATATAACATTATACATAAGATATCCGTGTTAATTGTCATTGATTACCCCTCCCCACTTCAAGGTTGCTTCCCGTTACCTTCTGCTGGACCGAGGTGCCCATTTGCCGAATTGCCATTCTCTCGGCGAAGGGGCGGTAAGTAGACCATTCTGGGCGGTGGTGTATCTCGTTCTATCGCGCTTTAGCTCTTCTAGAAGTAACGCGTACACCGAATCCCCATTATTGTGTAAAAACGGTGCAAAGATTCGGCCCGGAGTAACGAAGGTGCAACGACGCGCGGAGGTTCGGACTCCTTCATCCTCATCCTTTTTCTTCCTTTCTGCCGTCTTCTCCCTGCACGCTCAAGTCGTCTCGTGCCCACGATTGATGGGTCTCACGCATACGAAGGAAGGGCCTCTGACGCGGACCTTGCAGACCTCATAAAGGATAAGAGCAGGAAGAGGAAGGATTAAAAGATTGAAGGAGAGTTTGGCTTAGAATGAGGGATGGATTGGCATCTGATCCCCACCTGTTCGTAAAGAGGATCGGAGGGTGGAGAGGGTTAAAGGACGATGGGTAAAGGATCCTCTGGTCTTCCACCCTGTCGTTTCCACCCCGCCCGCCTGATCTTCCTTCTTCCGCTTGGCATGTGGGGATGATCAACATGCGGTCAGCAGGATTTATTCCATAATATTCCTCCCCACTGACTGACTGGGGAATAAAAAACGATAGATTATTATAATATAACAGACCCATCTGTTTCTTCGAAGATTAATCTGTGTTGCTCTGATGGGGATCAAAAATGGAGCTGTTGGAATTCTGGGCCATTGATGTCGTGTGAAATTACGGGAAGATATTTATGTCAATAATTCGGGGGGCTGCAGAAAAAAATGACGCATAGCCGGCATGAATGGGGGTAGGGGGGTGGGGGGCGGCGGGGGAAGGATGATGGGATCCTGCGGGAGGTGCTGACCCAACCAACCAGAGGGAGTGAGAGGCGTGGGGTCACGCCTATAAATTAAATCACGTACAGGAATCAGACGACCTCCTTTCCCCCTTCTGGGTCGTCTTCCATTTCACCTCTCCCGTCTTCTTCTTCCCTTCTCTCTTCATTTGCTTTTACCCCGCAGTCGTCATCGACCATTAATTTTGATTCCTTCAATGGTCGTCTCGTCCTCCTCCCCCGTCTGTATTTCATGGGCTCCTTGCCGAAAGACCCATTTTAAACACTGAGCGAAGAAAGACGATTTTTTGGGGCTCGTTCCTATCATTCTCTCTCCCCACCTCCTCTCTCTCTCTCTCTCTCTCTCTCTCTCTCCGGTCTGAAAGGGAGACCCCCTCCTTCCTGGGTCTTTCTTGTTCCTCCTGCCCACTCTGTTCCAGGTCTCGCTGGGGCGTCCTTGCGGGCACCAATTAAATCAGAGGGCTTCCGAGAGAAGGAGAAATATACAGAAATCACGTTCGCTCATTTCCGCTAATATTTCTCTTAAAAAGAAAGAACTACCGCCTGCGCCTACTTTTCCTCTTTGCAAATTCGTGCATCACCTGTTAATTTTTTTTCTCGGAGACTTGGTAAAGGTCATGGGCAAGCAGGGTCCTTGCCATCATTGTGGAATCACAAGTGAGCAATTATTTTACGCTATTTTTCCTTTGCAGCGTTCATGATCTTTCATCAGTTCTTGTGGGATGTTCCTCTCCGAGCTTTCCCTCACCGTTGATGTGAACCTCGTAGCGCAGCAGCCCAATCTCTCTTCGGCGTTTCCTCCGATTGTTCTTCATATGTTTCCTTCACTTTTCACCTGTTTTCGTCTCTAAATCCTTGGTTTGTGCTCTTTGATCCACCTTTTTGTGTTTCTGACGGAGGCAGGGGGGCCCCTGAGGGCTTCTACATTTGATCAGCCTGCTGCTGCTTCATTTCTTCACCGTCTTGTTCCGTTCATATTGGTCCTGAAGTTTCTGATGAAGCATTTTTACTGTGGAAAAATCCTCCCTTATCTGTTTCAGGGTTCCTCCTCACATCATGCAGTAGCTCTCCTCTCCTCGCGTTTGTCCTCTCTTTTACTGTCTTTCAGAGGAGATGGCCTTGTTGATCTGTATAGTTCTTCATATGCTGCCTGATTCACTTTGTAGAACTTCTACTAGTTGAAGAGAAATAAAAATAAAATAAAATGATGGGCCTGCAGAGGGCTTATTAAACTCCGAACTCATGCTTTGGGATGCATCTTCTCCCTGTGACGATCAGTTTTATGGAATTAATCTTTAAAGCTAAACTGTGTTCAGATTTACAAAGAATGAAGATCGTGTCATTTATGGATATTCATCTCCGAATGGAAACATCTGATGGATATGCTGAGCACTCCTTTGTATGGTATTTCTGGAGCTTTGAGTACTGAGCTGGAAGAGATGATGCAGGCACTCCTCTTTGGCGAAATGGGCCGCCAGAGAAGCCAATCCTTTGCAATGCATGCGGTTCAAGGTGGAGGACGAAGGGAACGCTTTCAAACTACACTCCCCTTCATGCCCGCGAGAATATTGACTTGAAGGATATCAGGCTTCCTAAAATCAAACCGAACGAGCACAAGTTGCATAAAAGGAAGCAGACTGACTGCAATCTTCAGGCTGAGCATGAACACGAGATTACCATCTCCGATGAGAACTTCCATAAGGCTCTGGAGGAGGATACCAGCAACAGATCTAGCTCTGGGTCTGCAATATCCTATTCGGAGAGCTGCTCGCATTTTGGCGGTGTGGATGCAAGTGATCCCACAGGTTGTATCTCCTCTTCTAAGCTCATACAAGGCATGAATTTCATTCAACTGGATGTCTTCTGTTTCTTCTTGGTGCTCCAAAGAAGTGCTGGACTTGGAAGGGTTGAGGCAGTGGTTTGATCATAACAAGCTTCTTCAATCTCTTGCGAATTTTACATACAAAATGCTGTTGATTTGTATTTCTATTCATTGAACCTACCTTCACTTAATCAGCAAGAATCCCACACCTCCTGTTGGGTATTTGTGGCCCGTTTGACATTTTTCTACCTTTTCTATCTCAGTCCCTGGTTCATTAGTTGACGAAATTTTGGTAGATAATCTGGTTTTTTTGCATGCTGGTTTCCTCTGTTTTAGCTGACAGGCAGAAACAATGAACTGCCCAGTTCCCATGTGTGTGCATTTGAAAGAAGATGATGATTTCACTACATGATGGATCGGGCTTCATTTTATTTATCTGGGAACCTATGCTGATCGTTGAAAACTTTTAGACAGCTACTAGCATAGTGTAAGATGAAAATTAGTCATGGATGCACTGAGTGTGATGCTTCTGCTTGTTGTGATCTGACGCGGGAATGAATCAGTGCACATATTCTTCATTCCTTTTGATGTTGGTTCTAAGGTTAGACACCCATATGTTGGTCAAGTAGGCTTTGTGTTGACGCCCAGTATTGACACCCATATGGTTGGATGATACATCCATCATCTTCTAGTTCTAAAAGGTTGCAGCCTTCTTAGCATTCAAGGGCTTGCCAGAGCCATTTTAATCGGCTATCCTTTAGAAAGTCAATGTCCCTGAGAAATCTTCTCAAGCAATTCCGATTTATGCTTCTAGTGTACACACCTCTGAAGCACAGATTCTGGGCGACTGGCAATAGACTTTTTTCCAGTTGATATTCTCAAATAAGAGAGTCATCAGTCTTTTCTTCCAGCTGCGATTTCTTTTGGTGGAAACACTTGCTAATGATATGACGGATTTATTTAGTTCTTTGTTTCAAAACTTTGATCGTCTCAGGTTGCTTATCTGATGCTACTGATCTTTGTCTAGGTTTATCCTCTCTCATGCTCAAGTATCCTCTCTCATGATTCTCCACAGTTGGAGCACCCTAGATGTTGATTGGAATCCCACAGCATAGAAGAGACGTAGAACCCAAGACTTGTTTACTGAATCTTGTCAATCAGCTAAATCAAATATTTTTCTTATCTTTTATTTGATAACTCTGAAGATTGGGTTCTTTGGGTTTTTTATTCTTGAGAAATGCCGGAGTTGGACTCTAATATTCGGTTTCATTATTTTAGGCTCTGTACAGTGCAACATCTGGGATTCACTGGTTCCTTCTCGGAAGAGAACATGTATGGGCCGTCCAAAACCATCCTCTGTTGAGAAACTCACGAGAGATCTCCACTCTATCTTGCACCAGCAGGCCTCCTATATTTCAGGGTCGCCGGAAGATGAACTGCTTTATGAGACAGAGACCCCATGGGGGTCGGTCGAGATAGGCAATGGGGGCGTCCTCATCAGGCATCCAAATGCGGCAATCCTGGAGGACGAATCAGAAGCAAGTTCTCTTCCGATAGACAACAAATTAGCCACAGCCAGTGAGGCTTATTCTGGGGCTTCATCCCTTCCTGTAAATAGTGTAGGCAAGGAGGATCCCGTTGATGAAAAGGTTAAGAGAACTCCACCAGCAGAGGAGCATGCAAGAAGGTACTTCCCTGCCCGCATTCTATTCCTTGCCTTCCATTTAGCCCAAGCCTCAACCACATGTTGAGGCTTTCTATGAGGAGCAGCTACTGGCAAATTCAGCATATTTCCTTCACTTGGGCTTATCATTTTTTATCCGTAAGATAGGTAAACATTCTTTAAAATTTGATTTCCATGGACTAAGCATTATTTTATCTATCTTGCAGGGATAAGGTGCCCCTTGAAAAGTTCTCTATGCTGAGATGTAAAGACTCACCTCTGACGTATGTAGATTTAACGGTATGGGTTTGGTGATGTGTCCTGATCTGGTTGATTCTCATGCCAAGTTAGATGCCATCATACCTCTGCTGGGTCTTATTGCAATTGAAATCGTTTGGCAGCTGATGTAGTCTCAATTCTTGTTTCTGAATAGGAAATCGTTAATTTGGAGGTCTTTATGAGGCATCTGACGTCTGAAGAACAACAGCAGTTGATGAAATATCTGCCTTCAATTGATGCGGCTAGACCTCCTGAAAGGTGGGTTGTCCGGATTTCCTTCGCGTTGAGGACTCCCTGGGAGAGAACGTTACCGGGTTTTGTTGCTTGGATCTCTATCACAGTCCTGCTTGCTATTTACATGCTCGTTCTCATCTAAGGCCATCTGATCTGCAGCCTCAAGAGCATGTTCCAGAGCCCCCAATTTACAGAGAATATGTCCTACTATAGGCAACTGCTGGCGGATGGGACTTTTGATATGAACGGTTCCGGGGTTACTGCAGATGAATCCAGGGCTTTAAAAAAGCTTGTCTTAACGAGCTCATTGAAATCTAAATGGGTAGAATACCATACAAAGATTAAGGTATGATTGGGTATTATATCGTCAATTCATCCAAAATCACCTCTTCCTCATCCAGCTTAAATCTTTGTTGGGTCAGTTGATTTTCTTTGCAGTGGACTGATTGATGACTTGGTCTTATAATTCTGATTGAGTTCTTCTGCTCCCTTTAGAGTTCGAGGAACAATGAAGCTAAAAGAAGAAAGGGAGTAAGAACTGGGCCAGGGCTGTTGGGTTCATCCAGTTCGGTTCCTCTCAGGAGGCCTAATGATCGACTGAGCCAGAACCCTCCAGGTCAGTGCCATATAAACCTGTTACATGCGTATCTTCTTATACTGTTGGTCTCATTGTTTTGTGAGGGTCGCCCAGGTGGAGCAAGCAGTGTGGCTTGTGGTCATGCTGCCCGGATGTGGGTTGCCCGAAGGCTTAGTGGGAAATTCCACCAGCTGGGTGCATTCTCTGTTGCAGAATGCGCGACAGAGGGACTGCCATGCCCTTTCCGATGCACGTTTGCATCATCCATCCAAGGGATGGAATTTTTTATTATAATAAAAAAAGGAAAGAATTTGTCATATTTCTCAGTGAAGTTTTTTTTATATTACTAATATTTTACAAGATTGTTTTTATTATTTTAATAACAGTTTTATTTGGTTAATGAATAACTAAAAATGTCTCTAAGCTGGAAAAACAAGCGAATATTTAATTTTATGATTTTACTTGTTTATGTGTGTATATTTGGCTTATCTATCAAACATTTTAAGTATTTATATATTTTTAAATTTATTTTAATTTTTTTTTGTCAAAGGACATTGGCTAGTCAAAGAAGGTTGGCTATCTCTTGAATCATCTTGGTCTCCTTAGAACCCTAAGTTGCCTATTTAATATTAGCTTTAGCTTTCTTCCCTTCAATCCTAACCTCCCTATTTTCTCCAAATGACTTATGTGGAGTTTCACGTCGAGATGTTGAGCACACATGCCCAAATTTCCTCATGACTACTTTGGATGCTCGAGCCTCTAATGGAAAGTGATAGAATTTTTCTCTACAGAGAGCATTTTTGTCTTGGTGATGAAAAAAACCTGATCAAAGGCACCCTCTACTATTAATTTTGCTCCCAGTTCTAACACCCTGTTATTAAATCTCCTTATTTATTCAGTGTCTTCAGAAATCTTCTTGCAACATTATTTACAGCTTTTGAGAACATTAGAGCATGTTTTCTCAATGGCAGCATCTTGAACTTCTGTTTGTCGGGAAGACCAAGATAACTGTCATTCTATCTCTCTGACTAGATCCTTGGAGAGGTTCATCATCTTGTGGAACTTGCTGCTGCGTGCTGAGTTGGTCTTGGGCTGCTGTTATTTAAAACTCTTTTTGATGGAGTGGGAGTCTCGGTCAATATTCAGAATAGAAAAGGGGCCTCCAGTGGATTTCCTTGTCGCTCATCTAACAGGGGAGGAGGAAGGTGAAGACATGGAAGGGGTGGCCTGTCCGCTAGCAATGCTTACAAGAGCTTGAGGAGGGGGATTGGCTTAGAGCAATAGATTAGTGAGAGAGGAAAGATGGGAGGTAGTAGAAAGACTTGCCGACTCTGCTGAGTGTATGGCCTGAAGCTGTGTGCTTAGGGAATGACCAGATGAAGACCTGGGTGACGTGTGGTTCCCCGTCCTTTTAAAGTATACTGATGCTGATTTGCATGATGAATTGGCACATATTCATTGCCTCATTCACATATGCCCAAGTTCACTTTGAGTTAAGCCCTTCATTTATTTATTTGTCTTTCAGTGACAAGTGCTCTGTATAACCGTAATCTCCTCCCTGAAGCACAATTTTCTGCCTAATCTTGTGAATATCTTGCCACCCATTCTTCCTTAAATGGCCAATTGGATTACTTTGATCAGTATGGAGGTTTAAACTATTTTAACCATCATTGTCCCAGAGAGATTTATGATCGGCGATTCCCTCCATTGTCTTGCACGAGAGTAGGTTCCCTTGACATCATTCTATTGTTTTGTTTAGTCGCATGAATTGTGCTCAGTATTCCTTATATTTTCACCTATTTATCAAACCACCTTGGCACGAGGGTTCTTGTAGAGCGTAGTAAATTCCTGCTGGCTTAGGCGATAAAAGTATATCGGTTATGCTTTTGGATTGAGATCGGAAGCTTTTAAGAGATGAAGAGGCAGTAACGCTTGCAAGATTGCCTCTTTACTCAGTAGGTTACTTCACTCTCATCTATCTTTTATTTCCTTGAACTCAAGTCCATTCACTCTTGAATGGGTGAGCCACCATGTTGAGCTATGAGCGACCGGGGAAGAGCCCATTTTTTATTTTTTTTCTGGTGACTTATACACATACATATATGTGTACAGATTCATAATAAAATATAAGAAATCGTGAGAAAATATTGATTAGTAGAGTCTTTGGATGTCGAAATGTGTTGTGTTTAACTCGTTTTTTCTGTTACATTGAAATTTCAGAGAAGAAGTCGTCCATAAAGAGCCCCAAAAGATCAAGTAAGCTGAGGGTCACGAATCTTCGTTCTCTAAAATCCCCGCAGCCCAACTCCATGGAGAACACGCTCTCCATCTTCAGTCCAAGGGGTATGCTTGCTTCTCCTCTGCAGGTAAACCCATTGTTGGATTCTTTGCAGTTCGATGGTGAGGATTCAGACCAGGATCTGTTGTTGGAGGTGCGCACCAATGGGTCATTTCCAGAGGCAGAGCTTCTGTCTGAGACGTGGAAGCAGAATGCTGGCCTGAACAGCATGTCGGCCGAGAGTGGGATTGAGAGTATCTCGTACAACCCAACCTCAAGCTCAAGCTCCCAGCCGCTTAAGCGCTGGGATTAATAAATTAGCTTCTTCAGCTTTCCCATCTTCACATATTCCAAATGGGCCATAGATTTTTTTGCTGTTGTCTTACAAAGCTTCCCTAGGGTGGGTGTTGCCTTCTTTCCTTGTATAGGAACTGTGAAACTTGTGATGCAACTGAATATTCAGGAGCTTAAGTTTACTCAGGAGAGGGATGTAACTGGAGCGTGGGAAGAACCATGGAAAGGGTTCTTCTCCCTGGCCTTGCATAGCAATCACTAAACGCCTCCTTGATGTCCTTAGGCCGTGGAGATGGATGAATCAGAGTGATCACTTCCTGCGTTGACTTGGCTATCTTTGAAGGTCGCCGATCATTAATGCTCATGAATTAGCAGAGGGAGGAAGCGTACTCAGTGAGGTTTGATCCGTAAATCAGGAGCTTCAGCAGCATCTTGGTCTTGGGAGGGATTCTGTGGCGTAACTGATGGCTTTGTAGTTGGCTGATGGAAAATATTCTCAGCAATAAATGTGGGGCTCCGCCTTCAATGTGGGATGGGATAAGATAGGATATGCCTGAGGGATCTCAAGCAGCAACTAGCAGTTGCCAGTCGGTGGGCTAGGGCAGGAAATCTTCCCTGGTCCAGACCGGACGATCTGAAAATCAAGCCTGTGGCTGAAAGTTGAGATCAGCTTGTCCATACATTTATATTCATCTGGGCCGCACTTGTTTGATGCATATGAAATCATGAGAACGTGTAACTAGCTAATGATGGGAATATATATGAGGGGAAATTTGTGAGCACATAGAGGACTTATATTCAAATGTAGGGCAAAAATGAGTTTTTAATGGGCGTTTTCCCAGTGTATTAGTGTAAGTGCAATAACTTTTATTAAAGTTTTCCTTTTATTTTACAATTTCAAGGTTAATAGTTTCAAATTTATTTTGAAAATTCCTATAGAATGTTTTTTTTTAATATCAACCTTTTCACCTCAACAACTATATTATAACAGGAGTTAAGTTTTTACCTTAGATTCGTTAACCATTTGGAAAATAGTACGTCATTTTTGCCCTTATATTTAGGTAAATATATAATATATTATTTTTTATAAATATTAAATTTTCTTGATAAACATTAATCTTTTATGAGGTGAAACAATCATTGTCAACAAAGTAAAAGTGCTGGTGCTTGCATTTCATTGTTAGTTAGTGGTGCAACATGCCAATATTGATGATTGAATAAAAGGGAATTCATAGAAGATCTATACTTCATAAATTAAGTAGTCTCAAGTTCAAGGTAGGCTTGGCCTTAAGGACCAACAAATAAATATACCACTTACTCTCACCTGATAATATTAATCTAGTCTCATCTTTAAATCTAAGATGACCTTCAATTCAATATGAGTATCAGCTCAAACTAACTCATACAATAAGCCCCTAGTTCCTATTTGCCATACAAGAGCATTAATGACATTTGATGCCATGTTAATACCACTTTTACTTTTCAATTATCTCATCCTAGATGCTCATTATTATTCCTCCAAGTCTTGAAGTACCTTTTATCTTTCCTTTTCCATCCCTCAATCTCATCATTAACATTTCATTGGGAAACCCTAATCCAATCTTTAAGTCTTAGGGACTATTGTAAGATAAATCACTTTTTATGAGTTATAATTTTCTTTTATGTTGTTTGACTTATTAATAAAGAAGAAAAAAATCTTCAATACACTCAAGACAAGGTGGCCCAGGGTTTTGGTAAATCCATTTTATCTTCATGTAGCTATAGTAATACTTTTTGGGATTTTTCTCATGAGCAAAATTATTTAAATCTTGTAAAATAATTGTAAGAGATTGTACTTAATTAATTGAACTCATGAAGAGTAGGCTGGCAGGCAGAAAGGTGACAAAAATGCAGATATTATATAAAAACTTATTTATTTGATACAAATTATTACTAATTTTATTGTTAAGTGAAGCTAGTATATCGATTACTTCACTTTGTGACTGATGATCACTAGAACAATTTTGAATCTAAACTCATGTGGTTTATTTTTGTAAGCTAGTTATTATCAAGAATGACAAGATAAGGGCTGAAACGTGGGAATTTGTGTTCATAGATGGTCAAAGTTCATAGATGTTGCCCCATGTTGGCTAAGTAACAAGTTGGATGAATTTGTGGCTTTAGTAGAGGTAGGGGCTGAACACTCTTTAAAAAAAGTATTAAGTATAATTTCATAGTGTCAGCACTTACAAAGGGAATCCAATGAAAATTGCGACATTCAAAATCACTAGCTTAGAGGTTGAAGTGAGATTATTGAGAGAAGGATACAACAACTATAAAGGAAAATGTTGGGATAATGTAGACATGCAAAGGTTGTAAGGGTGTGTTGCTGGAAATGGAAGGGATATAACTAATCAGAGAAGGGTTGGATAGCTCATGGTTGGGTTTCATGGATGTAGGCATGCATGATGTTATAAAAGCCTCTTCTTGGAGGGGTGACTTGTTCATGCGTTTAAAGGGAAAATCATTATACTTTAATCTGTAGGAGAAACCTATCATTTTTCAGAAAAAAATAAAATCATTTTGATAAATTTTTTCTAAACGTTTGTGTCTAGAAAATAAGGTCATCATATTGCTAGTAGACCTATCTATGACTCTTGTCAAGGATCACAACTTGTTGAAGCTGCCCTAGGTTGCTGGTTGCTGGGGAGAGCGATTGCCCTTGAGAATCAAGGAGAGAGAAAAGCGGGGGTGAGAAAATAAATTCTTTTTGAGATGTAAATGGATACAAGTATCTATAGGTAACCTGAATAGTTGAGTCAGATCTAGGTAGTCAAGCTTCACTTAAGCTAAATTGAATTTGATAAAATGAAAAGAAAAAGAGTAAAAACACAATTAATAAAACATAGAGGTATGTGAGAAATATTCATATTTTTCTAGACAACCAATTATGACTTTGCTAAATGCATGGATTCCTTAGTGTGCTGCTGCATTGTTATGAAGCTCATGTACAATTCACATACATAAAGGCCTGATGTACTACCTATCAATTGAGATGGCCAACACTACTAGCCACCTAGTTTGGTGGTCTCACCTCTCTCTATGTAAAAATAATAATCTTAGAATAGCTAATCACGTTCAAGGTTGGTAATTGATATCATGTACCAGCTTGTGCATGTAACCAATAACATTGTCTTATATAACATGCCCTTCACGCATATTAATAATGTCATTTGCACCATGGTTGGAAAAACAACATATGGACTACCACACAATGACATGTCAAAATCATCCAAACTACTAACATAGAATATCAAGGTATCTCCCCGAATCATCTCATATTAATTGTTCGTCAAAACCATTAAACAAAGGTCTAACACACTACAGAGTTCTTTGTACATGTTTGGGGCTAGACACCATTGATTGTTTGTCTCTTCCCGAATCATATCACCATTAATTTTTTATATTTAATCAAAATGGTGGACAAGCTAAAAGATATGCACCATAAAGTAAAATATAAGTTCTTATAGCAGTGCCATTGATCACAAACTTAACACTTAAGCTTCTCATTGAACATTTTCACTAGATTTTTCTGAAAGCTGCCATAGAGTAACTTTATTTAAATACCAAGCATACATTCTTATTATGCTGACTTTTGTAAACACATTAAGTTTATTGAATACACAAAAGGAAAAAACTCTAACTTATAAATGCTGCTATTTTTATTAGAATACAATGACATGATTTTGGTGTTCACTTAAAATTTGATGAAAACTTGTTGGAAGTTGTGACCTTGAGAAAGTTCGATCTAGGGTTTTGAATTTCAAATTATGGAAGCCCACTAAGTCCCTCTTCAAAGTAATATTTTACAAAATTAGAAGCTAAAATAATCTCTACAATTAGCAGTCTGGCAAAAGTAATAAGGATGTAAGGCTCATCCTATAGTGCTTTTGGCCTTGGACTATGAGTAAAGTCTTCAAGCATTCAGCATTGAGAGAAAAAATATACACTTTATGACCCAAGCTATACTTAGAGTTTGACCTCATGTCTCTCCTTTTTACCTAGATGTGTTGTGGTGTCAACGTGATACTTAGTTGGCAACCGAAAATCCAAAGTTAAAACTGCTATCTAAATGGTAAATGCTTTTCACCAAGGGCTGACTCATACTTAATCTTGTATGAGAACTCTTTTTTCTATAAGTCTGGCTTTGAATTTTAGCAACCATCATTTGTTGACATCGATATTTTTTTTGGTTTCCTAATGTAGGTTTTGATAGATTTGCTATGGGTGTGGACACTTCTAATAAAAAAATATTACTTGTTTACACAAGTAACACAATTTTGATTACAAGTATCACTTGAACAAGGCTGTTGAGTGCACCAAGTATTTATTGGGGGCCCATTCGCCCATTGATTGAGTAGAAGATGATGGGGAAACTTTTGTGGTGAAGTCCTCTCTGATCTCCAATCATGCTAAAGTGTAGGAGACTGAAGCTCTTTCCCCTGCACAATAAAAGTAGTGCCCTTGGGGAGGTTTGGGTTGATGAAGCTATCCATGAAAACATTCTAAAAATCAGTAAATATCCCAATCATCGGTGTACTAAATAAAAAATCCTGGTTAAAATACATTATGACTGTGCAAACTTTCTTGAAAAAAGACAGTACTATATCCTCAAGATCACTCCTTTGTTTGTTCATAATATGGCATACTGAAGTGCACAGTAAATGTTATCATTAAGATATTAACACTACCAAATATTACAGATTCCTATCACCACACATTTTAGACGAAGAGTACATTAGTAAAGAAGTGACTTATTCCCTTGCATAGCATAGGAAAATGGCCACATCACAAGTCCTTGGTGAATGGATTAAGGTGGTAAAATTTGAATGATACAGAACAAGGAGTAAAAAAAGTGTGCCTACATAATGAAAAAGTAAGATTACTAAGTAACCTGCAGCTGAAGTAGTTAAATCTTGCGATGGTTTTTTTGCATCTGAACTCAGAAAAGGGCAGCTTCTATAAGCACTCAAAAAGTTG